TAAAAACTGTAGAAAAGTTTGAATAGACTATGTACCTTGAGTATATCCAGTCTGGATTTCCATAATTGATAATAGTTATTTTAATTAAACATAATCTAAACATTTCAAAATGAAAACACTAACAGGACTAAACATAAAACAGCTTTCATTATTTATTAAATATTTTGTGCATTATTTTAGAAATAGTAACATTTTTTTATTTTAGAATACAACTATGATAAAAGTGTTTGTAAATAGTAATAGAACCCAGAATGTGAGTTTCTTCCCTTCTAAGACTCGTCAACTAAATGTATGTGTATGTCAGTTTAGATGTTCACAAAGGGACTAGAATCCAATGCGTTTTGCTTCAGATGATCAATGCGTTATTCACTGAGCAGGTGAATTCACATATCCATATGTTCTTGAAACAAGTAAGGGAAATGATTATCCTCATAGAATGCCTATTCTTTAAGAAATACTGACCACAATTCGGTCAAGATTAACAACAACGGGATAATTCATAATCCTTTCTGATGATGATACAATTATAATAAGTAAAAATTTTGAAAAAATACGCAAAGCCTTATTTGAAAAATTATCGTAACCTTGGGAAGAATATGTGTGTATTCCACTAAGAAAACTATGAAAACTATACAAAGATTTTAATTGTAGTTATGAAGCTCTATTCACGTAGCTTTCTCACTGTTTCTTTAACAATAAAATTTTAGCCCTATCTATATTAAATATAACTTTTTAGGCAAAGATGGATAGTGGCTAGGAGTGGAATCCAAGACGCACATTTCGTTCTATTTGGAACTCCTCAGCTCGATGTACTTACATCTCAGAGTTGATATCCACTCCGGGACTCGAACTCAGTATTGATCGTTTCAAACACCATAGTGTTATTCACTTAGTTACTGAGACCTGATGGCCACCTGTTTGTGCAATGGGGTGAAGTTTAAATTCACTTGGTGTTGTTTTACTTGTATTTCCCCATTGTTTCCATTGGTTCAAGTCCCAGAGTGAACATCGACTTTGGAATGCAGGTACATCCAGCTGATAAGTCCCGCGTTCTGGAATCCACTGCTAATCACTTTCCGTCTTTGTTTAAGAAGCTTATGACTTAAGGCTATATCGAGGCAATCCGTAAAGGACGCACATATGCCAACATCAGACTAATCAATTGCATTCTTAAAAAACAATAAGAAGATACAAATAAAACAATACCAAATGGATTTAGTATAACTTTTGTTTTGAGAAATAACCTGGAGATTTATTTAAAATTATAAACACATTTTGAGACAAAATTATATGATCTGTTGTAATATAGATAAGGACTTACAATGATTGAAATATCATTACTTAAATGAACCTAGTGTCCATGCTTTTGTGAATGAACAAAATAGTAGTGAATGAATGTATACAGAGTGAAAGTTAATTTTATGGACGACCTTTGAGTGACATTAAAGTGACCATGAGAATGTACACTTACTTCGAAGGGTCAAATGAGAGTTATAAACCTACGTGAAGAATAAGGATTATGATTTACAGTTGATGATTATGAAGGTTATGAATTAGATTTGAAATTTTTATGATCAAACTGACATTAGCTAAAATCTCAAAACGCTATTTAACCAAATGAATGAATGAATTACGCATTAACATCTAAGACTTTTCATCTTATATCTTATTGATTCGTCCATAGATTATAGTCTCAACGTATATTTTCAACAATTTTCAGACTGAGAATGGTAATGTGGATATAAATGAGTAAACTGATCAATTGTTTACATTAAATTTTACATGAGAAATCTAATTTACTAAGTTACTTTAGGAAACTTACAAACTATTAGTTTACGTATATAAAGAGACGAAATCAAAAGCGTTATATTTAGCTACCTATAATATTTTGTACAAAATGTTATGGGTCCTTCTATTGTATCAAGTTTTTATAGACTGAATGATGTTATAGTTTACTTTAAGCTGTTTAATAAGTAGTTAGTGAAATGTTAGAAAAAATATATGTCTATATTAGCTATGCCTAAGGATTAAGTACAATTAACTATAGAATATTATCCATAATAATGATATGAATTGTTAGAAATGTATGAAGTAATTTAATTTCTTTTCTAAAAACTGAAGTAAACTTAAATACTACTCTGATTATACAAGAAGTACTTCATCTGATTTCATCCTATATAATCTAAGATTTTATTGACACTTTTATTAATTAAGGAATATGATTACTTCAATAGGTTTAAAAGTCATTTTTATCAGTAAATATTATACTAGAAACTCTATAAAATGAATACTTCTAAGATCATTACTGTTAAACTTGATTCTTTAATAACGATATACTACAATAATTGAAATCATGAGTCAATTGAAGCTACACCACCATGGAAAACCTGGAATCACAGGACGATCATTTTGTCCTAGTATGAGACTCCTCAGCAGTGCGCATCCACGATCCCGCTACCTGTGAGATTCGAAAATAGGACATATCGGTCTCACGCGCGAGCGCCTAACCATTAGACCATTGAGCCGGCCGATATTCAATGACATTAATGTCTACCTTCAACCAATCCATGAAATTGTGCCACCGTACACCATTGTCTTCAGTGAGCTGATATCTCACAACAGATCTGATACATTAACTTATTTTTTAATTGGATTAATTGTTTAACATTACAGATGACGCTTATTAACATTCATTTTAGCATAATGTAAATGTAAGTATTGTGAAATTTGTCAATAATTCAAGAATATAATTCATTCATCATATAAACAAATTTTTTTAATTTATCTGTTAACCGATAATGAACGTTAATATGTAATGAAATTGTAATTGCGTTTTCATGTTTATAGACTTTCTAAATAATGATCTATTGAAAGAACACAAATGTACAATTCATTGTAGAAGACTTGTAGCTCAGGTGGATGACTTTGATAGAGTTTTGTTCTGTGAGCTGGATGGTTTGGTCGTGAAGCTTTCATCGTTTTTCTGAATGATACTATCAGCACAAACCTGAAGGACAATTCAGTCTTTATCATAAGATGCTGTATTGAATAGATATATGTTTGTATTTGTTGTTCGATATAAGTGTACTATAGACATTAAATGAATATTAGATAATCTATTTCATGTTGTAATACTCCTTGAAAATATGGTTAATTTGTATTTTTAAACCAGATGTTTATAGATTGTTCTGGAATTGTCTATGCCTGGATTACACATGTTAAATATTTTTCTTATCAATGCTTTAACAATTATGTTATTTATATGACTGATAGATGGAATTTAATGTGTTTGATTATGTCATTTATTTTAATTAAGCTTCGTCTAGGTATATTATCATAGAATATGGGTTTGTTAAGAATTATATCAGTTTATCAATAATATATTAATTATTCATTTTGATGTACATTCATTAACCTTATTGTTTCCAGTTTTACCAAATAGAGCCTAATATTGAACAGATATGTATATGTAGGATCAAATCCACACTAAAGTTGTATGATAAGGTCATTAAGTCTGTTAGGTTATTTATGTTCGATATAACATATGATGAATATATAAAACTTTCGATTATTTTGATGAGATTGATGATCAAAACAGATTCCTAATGAAAGCCTCGTCAATTGATGTGTGGTAGTTTTTATAACACTAACCTCAATTGTGCATGATAAATAAAACTTTTAGGCTTATTTATTAGATCGTAATTAGTATACCGACAATCCGATTCCCAGGTTTTCAGTGTTAGTCTAGCTTAGATTGATTTGTGATTTTAACTGTGAAAATGCTACAATCTCCAAAAATCCTCCATAATGACTAGCTTCAAAATGTAACTCTTGCAGCTTTAGTGAGGAGCCGTGATTAGTGGGTTCCAATCTGTATCGGGTATGAGACAATTGTCCTCAACAGGCAATCAATAAAGGGTCACGCAAGATCATGGGTTGACTGAATTTAGACATCAGAGTTGTCTGATGCCGACTCATTTATCTAGGGGTTGGGCGTTCGCACGCGAAACATATGGTCTTGGGTTCGAGTCCCGAATATGGGGCCGTGGATAACACTGCTGAGAACTATCACACTAGGACGAAATAATCATCTACTTGTCCTAGGTTTACAATAGTTATGTAGCTTAAATTGACTCGCGACCTCAAGTGTGAAAACCAATTTCTGTTCTTAATACGAACGAGATACATTTTATGCAGCATTAAACAATATTATGCTAAATTCATATAATTTGAACGTATTTCTTATCGTGAACTGATATTCAATGGATAATGATGGAAAACTATGGAGCATTTGGGATTTTTTCCCTAGGTTTGAACCATTATTTAGTGTCCTTATAAGATACGACATGAGATAGAGATCGAATCCTTCAATTGTTGTAGTAAGCAAGATATCGCGACACAGATGAAAACTAGTTATCACGATCTTAATTCCTAATTAGAGCTGGAGTTTTGTAATCCGAAGTTCATCTTAAGACGATTTACCTCAACTATAATCTTCTGTATTGAACATTTTTAAGATGACCTCAGTCATATAAGTCAGATGTTGCGTATTAACTTGAAGATAAAAACTTGAAATGATCGTATTATGACGCTACTCAATCGAATATAAAATATATGATTCACTGGATTCAAAATGAAGAATCAAAGGGCGGCCTGCCTGAGCATCTGGGCTACCTGTTCCTGCCATCTAGATATTTCAACAAGTTATATGTCTTTGTTTTTTTAATATATCATTATGTTTATTAATCGCATAACCTATTCTGCTGCGTTTCTGAAAAGTGTACAACCTTTCGTTGTCAAAGTTACAAAAAACTCAATAAGAGACAACGTGGTTGCTGGCAATATACAACGAAAAGAATGCACATTATTCAGATTTTCATTTACTGAACTGCTAACATCTAACTGGCGATCACTCGATATTTATCGCCAGGACCGACCAAGAAGAAAGAAACGGAAACTTGTTGAAATACTTTGCGCTGAGAATTCTATATTGTACCAAAAATATAATATTGAATAAAGCTGATGATAATAAAAAAAAATAATAATAAAAGTGTTAATGCGCTTGCCACGAGAAGCTTTATCTCATTTGGGATTGTTTGTACGTGCATCATGAAACAGTCAATTAGCTCTCCGACATTCTTCAGTCAGACTCTATTAGAAGTGGAGGAGAATTTTAGCTCAAGTAGTTTATTTTGATGGACTCTCCTCCTCCAAGTTAAAGTAATTAATCGAGGAGCTTTCATTGTTCTTCTGAATAACGTCATCAGCACAAAAATCAGGCAAAAGTGAGGTATTCCAATTTCCCCACATATATTCAACAGCTTGTCCTATCGACCTTGATCCTGATTATTTATTATTGGCCTTTAGCCTGTCATCGTTTCACCCTTTGACCTGATTCTTGATCCATGGTTTTTCTGATCTATTTCGATATATTTATTGATTGCTAATTCACTTGAGGACCAAGCTAAACAGTTTCTGGTGTTCTTAGTATCAATAAGCTCTGCGAATAAAACTTCACGAAAACTTTATTGGTAATGGAAATCTCTCTCAGTAACTGACGATTATTGTTCTTAAAAATATTTTTTCTTTCATATTTACAGTCAATTGGGAAACTTCTAATTTGAAATAAATTGGCAGCAGGTGATATGAAAAATATCAAAGAATAAATGTCGCTTATATGTAACAAGAAACGTTGAGGAAGAAATCACCTCCGTATACATAGGTCACTATAATGGTGATGGTCATCAAAATTTAAATACTTTTTATTTGAATAATATAAGTTCATTAAATATTTAAATCACCACTCGAATTCCTAATAGGTTCGAATTAATCATGACTAAACATAATTGGCAGAACAAATATGCATCAATCTATTGGCTAGCAGTAAATTCAGTATGTACTTATCATCTCCAGTGTGTTTGAGTGTCTTCTATTATCATTCATTAGAAGGACAAAATGTTTTCATGAATTAAGTAACTACGTATACACTTCTTGGAACTGTTCGTTGAATGACTAAGGTTAGTTTTATTATTTTGAAATAAGGAGAATGTTTGAATACATGTGAGATATCAATTAAATATACAGAATAGTAGTAATAATTTCTTGTCAGAACCAAAACATCTTTAACAGATCTTAGTGATGCACTTAACACAATACGTAGAAAGTATGATCATCATTGAATTCGTCAAATTCAGGGATTACGTAAGTTTAAAACTTTAGTACTTAACTATATGAGATGTATCATTAATTTCCTCAACGTGAACAAATATGATCTTTTTTCACTTACTTTTTGATGCAGTGTGTCCAAGCTGTAAATCATATACAGACGTGACATGATTTGCTTCCAAGCTTTTGGAAAATGCACTCCAAATCGACCATAAAGACCTAAGTATAGCACGAGTAGGATTTGGTATGAGACGTGGACTGAAGTATAGTATAAAGAATGTTCAGATCGAAAAAAACAAATATACCCAGTAAACATTAGTAAATAATGTATAATATAATTATATACATTGATTTACTGAAGAAAATTAGAATCCAATACTAGTTTAAGTGTCTTTCTCGTATCAATCTTTCACTATTAGTCCAAGCGAAATAAATAGACATAAATATTGTCCAACAGCCATCTATCATGTGAGAGATCGATAGATTTTAAGCCTGTGCATCTTCCCTTAACTATTTAATACAAACCACAAGTATAGAAATACATTTACAATCATATGCAGACAATATATGTACATTATTGTACAATATTTATAGTAGATGAATTTCATTAGATAGTACAGTTGATAGTACAATGTTAGCTATTTTTAACATTACGAAACAGTTTGATTCAAAATGTTATTTTGAAAAGAGCAAGAACATGTTCCAAAATGTCTCCGAACAAGGGAGACAAAGACTCTAAACATTGCAATCATCAAACATCTCCTTGATATAGGACATCGGGTAGATACCTTGCAATCCTTTAAGGTGATTAGTAAGCAGCCGAACTCCAGTCTTCTGTAGTTTGCTGAAGCTGTTGCCATCAGGCGTCAAAAACCTGACCTATGTGTTCAAAAGGAGACGGTTATTAATATTTCCTTGCCTTGGTGATAAATACTCTTTCGCTGCATCTCTAAAAATTTTTTTTCTTTCTCTTTAAACTCTTTCTTGCATTCATTGCATCATTGAATTTATTTCAACTACCTTCCAAATAAATAATCTTTCAACTATGCTCTACTCACTATATTCTTATCAATTTTTATTCGTTATGTAATCACTGGTTTCTAGCCGCTTGAACATTTGTCACAATCAATGTTGTAGAGTGTTCTTTCACACAAGGTATATATTTACAATATTCAGTCTATTAAATTTATTTACACTATTGCTATAACATACTAATATGTCTTCACTATAACTTTCAACCAGACGCTTTCATGTAAGTAATTTAAACGCATTATATAATTGTGATTTTAAATATCACAGGTTGTAAGCAGCTGACGAGAACCTACGAAATAAAATGGATTTATGCTATTCTGCTAGAATCTTTGTTCTAGCTCTTTTCAAAATGATAAAGGGAACTATGTATACAAAGTGTTATTAGGAAAATAAACAATGTTCTAAATTTACTAATCTCCTTTATTTATTCACTTATATTTATTCTGACGAAGTGCTTTACACTAAGTCACGGAACGTGAGATATACGAGTTTTCTACTCATTAAGATATAACGAAAAATATAATTTTTTATTAACATAAATATATTTCAGTTGAAGAAGGTTATTTTAGAATCCGATTATTAACTTTCCCAAGCTTTGACAGTAATAACTAATTGATGTTAGTATTGGTGAATGAAACTATTCAAAATATGCATAAATATAACCATTAGGAATTGATTATGGGACCCCTCAGTGGTGCGCATCTATGATCCCACCCAACGAGATCCCAACCCAGAAACTTCGCTTAAACTCTAGATCACGTAACCGGCATCCAACGATGTTAACGTCTAACTTCAGTCGATCCATGCCGTTCCGCGACCCTTCGTGTATTGCCTGTTCCTATCCGACATGGGTTGGACTACACAGGTCACGGCTTCTCACTAAAACTCCAGGAAAGCCATCTTGGAGCCAGTCCCATACTAAGATGAAACGGCTCTTCAGTGCTTCCAGGTTTTCCACTTTGGTCTAGCTTCGAATGACTCATGACTTCAACTATCAACATTATCACAATCTCTACAAACCTCTATTCAAATATATAGCTAACAATACCAATGAATAGGAATTCTAAATTACGGATATTTCGCGACCTAGTGTAAGTAACTTTATCTAGGAGTAAATAGAGTTTTAGCGTTAGTATATTATATCACATTAAATCCTTTTTGACTTAATATAACAATCGTAAAATTAGACTTGTATTCGTATTCTCATCATTTGATCTGACGCATGTTATTAATTAAATCATTTTGTATTTAGTCACAATTCATTGAAAATTCAAGCCTTTTACTCATAGAAATGATTACAAAATTTGTTAGAAATAATATTCAACATAGTTTATACAAGGTGGTAATTTATGCGATCTAAAAGTCAATATCAAAAATGGATCTTGATCTTATTCTGTCTTACAATAACTCAGTAGCTCATGTTATGTAATATTCTACTTGGATTATAACATAAACAATGGACAACTATTTTCTTTTAAGAACGATGTTATTCTTAACCAATGTGTAATATTCAAAGAAAATATATGAACTGAAATAGTGCCGTTACCTTGGTGTCATAAATTTAGATTCTCTGGGCAATACAATCATTGCGATATCTTTTGTCATACAAACCGGTCGACGGCAACCATCTACTTTCAAATAGGATGACACTGTCATGTAGACACGTTGTCCGTATGGTGTAACGTGATTTAATAAATTTGAGGCATGAAGTGATGAATCCCATGCGGCTTCAAATCGAAACGATATACTGTAAAGGAAAGTAAAAAATGATTCATTCAGTGCTCAATTCATAGAAAATTATCTTCAGGTTTCAAATAGATTATACGGGTTAGTGATATTAACAGCTTTATGAAATGAATGCTGGTAACTACTTAGCTATCATAATGTGAGCTGCGCAGATCAACCCTACTTAATTTAAGACTTTTTCAGATCTAGAAATCGTCAATAATTTAATTGCTCAAATTGAACGCATATGATTTAATTAATTAACTATCCAAGCAAAAATTCATTCAGTGACCTGAATTTCTATTTCAGGCAAAACGTAAGCAGTTGTAACAAAAAATATAAAAGTGGCATTTTTTCATTTACCGATCACTGCTTGTTTCATGTATTTGTTGAGCGGGCAATAACGAAAGTGATAAGATATGCGTATGCTCATCTGAATCTAACCATTCGGGATTTTCACGTACTCGACCAACGACTACTTCATGTATTCCTTGAAAAAGACATGTATGTGAACAATTCAGTTGATTGTCTATTCTATCAGATTTTATTGGATCAAGAAATTCATGTACCAAAGTTATTGCTAGACGTCTTTGAATTCCTTGATGAATAAGAAACACTCCTTGACATGGAGTTTCGTCTAGTCGATCAACTGGGACAGGTGCGTACCTGAAGACAAAGCGAGAAAATAAACGTATAACAGGTTTACAAATATCTGAACACTTTACTAGCTGAATCACTTGTGCATTAATCATATAATTTATATTAAGTGTTACTGAAGAACTGTTGGTCAGGGAATTTTAGGTATTTTGAGATATTAATTTGTGGATCAAGTTGTTTTTGTTAACTTCTGGTTAACTACTTATACTGATCAGTAATATCGATTACAAACATTTGGAAATAATTTAACTGAACTTATGAAGTATGAAGAATGAATGACTGTTGTGAACCATTTTATCTTTGTAATAATTTATTGAGAATGTAGTTCGATAAAATCCAACTAAAACAAACTTTGTATAAAATTGCATGACCCTGTTGTAATCACAAATACCAGAATAACAATAAATTCAATAAAGATGATGTAAGTAGAAAATATAGATCTTTGAATCTGATCCAATATTCTTATGAATTTTTTTGAAACACTTGTTTTTTAAAGGTATGTTCAAAGGTAAATGAATACTACAATTGATTGGTCACTGAGTGGTGATCAATGTCATGTATTTCAAGTCTTTCTTAGTGCAGATCGAATGCTATCGATCAAGTTGCAACAGGAATACCCCCAACCACCATCTTATTTCACCCTAGTGCACCCAATGTCGAGTCACCTAGACTAGTAGCCACATTGCAATTTGGTCAACAAGATTCTATCTGCACTAAGAAAGACCTGATATACATGACAATGATCACCACTCAGTGATCAATCAATTGTAAATATATCACAGTTCTATAGCAGATCAGTCACGGCCCGGATAGCTTAGTGGTAGCGTCTCTGAATATGAAGCTGGGTGACACAGGATCGAATCCGTCAGGGAGTATCAGTTCCCTCAAGATTTCAGGCACACCATGCTGACTAGTGCCAAGTAGCACGAGACCTAGGTCCAGGGTTTTATGGTTGACTACTTACAACCACCATCTTAAATGGATACTATATATCTTCGTTACTAAATGCTACTAAAATGGATTTATAATCGTAAAAGATAAAACTTAACTTTTCTTTCAGCTTATTTTCACTATATTATAAATAAACTATTTTTGAAACAATCCATTTTCATAACATTTTCCCAACAATTCTTTATAAAAAATAGAAATACAATTCCTCTAAACACAGATATCATTCAAATCAGATATTAATCTCCTGTCATCTAGACTGATATGACAATTTATTCGTAATTTATTGAATAAAATGGGAAAGAAAAATGATATCCTGAATGGTGTTTCATATAATTCAAATTCAAAAGTAAGACGATGTTTAGGGATTAACCTGATTACTAACAATTTAATCGTTATGAAAAGGTACTGATTTTAAAATCTTCTTGGATAAAGTACATTATTTTTAATTACATTTGTTTATTCATTATTTCTATAGTTGTTGTAAAAGTCGTGACTTATGGAGTGTACGAATAAAATATCTATGGCAATGGATGTTATTCATGTGACACTGAGATAATCACAAGTAACAATAACAGTTATCGGCTTTCAACTCATTGGATTGAAAAATGTGAAAATGGAATCGTGAATGTATTCTGTTGAGAGCTCCTGTACTGGAATAGAAATGGTATCCATTTCTATCTTATTTTTAAGCTGACGTTAGTCCGATATGTAATTTATCTTCAAGTCATTTTTCGCTATGTGATTTCATAGAAAAAGAATGATTTAAAGAATGGTCACCAACTGTTCACATAATCTTAACGGAAATGTACTAGCACCGCAAATATTAAAGTTTTAGTTATAATTTAGTAGTTGAGATTATGAGTTAATTAAAGCTAGACCACCATAGAAAACCTGGAAACACTGGACAGCTGTTTCGTCCTATTGTAGGACTTCTCAACAGTGCTCATCCATTATCCCACCCCGCGGGATCTCGCGCGAAACCGACAGGTCCTGGTTTCGAATCGTTATGTCCTGATAAGAAGAATGAATGGTAATTTTGGGGATCCATTTATGGACCAATACTATCAGTATATTTTTGTCGTGTAATTGTTATGTAATTAAACTGTTCATATTCATGTCCCTCTTGTTATAAGTTTTATTTTAACCTATGAACTATTATTATACGATCTACCATTCTTGAATTATGCCTTATCTGTTAATCACTACCTCCCTCATTCACAGCCACATTTGGCTAATTCTTGTACAAATGATGTTTTCATATTTTATGGTACGTTATGGTCTGCCTGGTTGGTATATAAACCCCGTATGTTTGAAATAAATGATTCATATTGCAGAGGCTGAGACTGGTGTTTTGGACTTAACTGGCTGAGCTAGGCAGGACGCTGGAACAATCAAGACACTAGACTGCTCCCACGGGTTTCATGCGTCACTGGTCCGATCGACAAGTTGCGGTATCGTTGCATTATACATTAACAGGGCATACAGGTCACCAAGATATAACACGAATCCCGTGGGGCGGGATCGTGGATGCGCACTGCTGAGGAGTCCCACACCAAGATGAAACCTCCGTCCAGTGCCTTCAAGTTTTCCATGGTGGGCTAGCTTAAATTGACTCATGAATTCAACTAATGAATTACTACAATATCCACAAGAACCCCTTTCTAATTTTAGTTATAAGTTGAAAACTATGAAAATGCAACTTAATTTCGAAAAATGTTCGAATGTAATGTCATGATAAACCTCTTATAGTTGTTTGAATAATAAGATATTTAACTGATACCTCACATACAGGCAATACAATTTAATCTATTTGTTACCAGCTACATTGTACTATAATACATTTCATAGTAAACATAAACACTTTATGAGAATATAAATCACTTTATCAATTGAATTAAGTTATCAGTTTAATATGATTAGAGAGGATAACAATATTGGGCTAGTATAATATTATTCTATAATAAACTCTTTCAATTCAACTGATTTCAATTAAGAAAACTTAAACTTACTCTCCATTACGATTTAATTCTAATATTTCAAACCATACAAGTATATCATAACGTTGAACTATTTCAGAACTGTAAATTAGAAACGAAAAAGAAAAGATTCATAAAGAAGTATTCTGTTTGTTTCTTTTGAATGATCTATTTTAGTTTATAAGAATAAATGAGCAATTCGAGCTTGAATGTAACTAATATGAAAAGATATATCACCAAATTCTATAATCTATTGCAAATCGCCACCAAATTTGTTGTCATCTTAACTTTAGTTTCCATGTAGATACTTAAATGTATATTCAACCCTTGAAAATCAATCAAAAATTCTGAAAAAAAATTTTTTTTATTATTACAAAATAAGGAAATCTTCTATTCAGAATAAATAACATTGTCAATTAAATAATGATTACATAGAAACTGTAGAAAATAATATTGTTTAGTTTATGTATTTTATGATATAAGTAAACGGAATACACCCATTAAGACATTAAATAAGAAAGATTAGTTCAGCGAAGAGTCCGCTTGTCGGCGAATTCATTTTCAAAACTGTATCATCGCAAATATATATATATATATATATATATATATATATACTTATTTTACAGGATGATAATAATTATAATAATACCGATAATAAACTTCCGTTACCATGGTGACAGTGCAGTGAAATAAACAAAGGTATTAAAAAAATAAGAACTTTTGTCTAAATTTGATCGAATAAATTCACTTGGTGTTGTTTTACTTGTATCTTCCCGTTGTTATTTAGGACTGCAATTGATCCGTCTCATGTGGGCATTTGTGCATCCTGTGCGGATTGACTCGATATAACCTTAAGTCACAAGCTTTTTTAAGCAAAGACGGATAGTGGCTAGCAGTGAGATACAGGATGCGCGTTTCGTCCTATTTGGAATTCGTCAGCTGGATGATCGAGTAGTTTCACAGTGTTTGGGTGCTGAGTAATGTGAGACATTAAATACATTTTTCCTCTTTAATGTAATAAAACAAGTTTTTTAGAAAACAAGGAAAGTTTAAAAACCGTGTGATTTTTAATGACTTAAGTATTCATCAAATGATAGATATGGAAGTTATCATTGGGAAAGGATGTTTCAGCATGATAAGATAAAATGTTGAAATTGAAATTAAATATATATATATATGTTTGCGATGATACAGTTTTTAAAACGCATTCGCCGACAAGCGGACTCGTCGCTGAACTAATTTTTCTTATTTAATGTCAATATGATATGATATATTATTGAAAAGAATTGGTATATTTTCTTTCAACCCCTTAATGATAACTTTGAAATTATCAATTCTGTTTCATAGGAAATGAATGTAATCATCATTGGAAGATAAGAAGTTTTATATTTTGTTAGTATTCTTACATGAACTTATTTGTTTGAATATGTTTTAATTCAAGAAAAGTTTAATCATATTTTCTATTGTAGATATTTACTAACAAGTAACTATGTTGTTTTCAATTGAAACTACACATTAAACAAAAGATATTCATGATGTGTTCCAATTATCGCGTCATTTATGTATTATAATAAACATTTGATATATTTTATTATATATTTAAACACATAAATACTGGTACAAAGAGGTACCAAATAGATATGCCCCATATAAATCATTCGATTTATATGAGGGATAGGATACTGCCTGAGTAACCAAACAGAAGCAAATAGTTTTCGTAGGTGGTCATTTCTCGAGCTTTTTACGTAAAGGTCTAATCCACAAGGCAGTGGAGTAACGTTAGGAGATTCAGTCCAAAAAAATAGGTCCATACGCCTTTTGGTTCCATAGAATCTTGGAGACCATGTGCACCATTCGTTTGGAATCAGGGTTTTACAACTCCCCTATGTGGATACTCCGTATCCACCAACCAGGTTATTGCTCCGGATATTCGCTTTTCGTGCCCTCAATTTCGTAAACAACACTCCAACCGCGAAAAGGCAGTCATTAGGACTTCCTTGGCAGTGGTTGTATGAAGGTGTCCATAAAAGAGCATTAGGAGAGGGAGGGCTGACTCTCCCCACTCTCGGCCGTACCAAGGCATTTGTGTGCTATTTGGAATGAGTTCAGTTGAAATCACTGAGAATTAAATCAACCATGTACTTAATAACTTTATTCAAAAATCTATGATTAAACGTTACATTTAATAGAATTTTAGTAAGCAAATTATATTTAATCATTAATAGAACCAAACGATTCTTTTTAGAAAATTCAGTGTAACTAAAATTAAGTTCAAGAAATAACTCAGCCAGGAGTAGTCTTTGGACGATCTGAAGCCGTAATTACAAGGAAGGTTATGGTGAAGCTTTCATCCACTATCTTATAAAAATCCCCCTGCAAAATAAGTAGACAGGGAAAGCTCAATAGATTCTGATCTAAGAAGAGAAATTCTCTATGTTGGACAGTTATAATGCTGTATGATTAAAATAGAAAGTCTTTAGAAGCTACAAGGCAGACCCCCCTATAGATGGTCAGGGCAAGAGCAGGATAGGGATGTTGAATGTCGTGGAAATATGGAAGGCACGGGGAATCTTTCAAACATCCACAGAAGCGAGAAAACACAATCTGCCTCTCCATGGAATAAGTGGTACTCATTAGACACAACCACGACAAACAGGAGTAGAAAATGGAGAGACGTTATTGTGTTTTGGTCATGAATAAGAAAATTCCTTAAATCCAGAAGGAGTTGCACTGGTGCTATCCAGAGAAGAAAAAAAGGTAATTATAAGACGGAAACTCATGACTTCATTATCATCACAACATCATTTAAAATCAATTACCGAGGATGGGGATCAGTGGAACAGCCAGGTAGAGCACTTTGAAGAGCTCATAATGAGACTAGTGACATTCAACTCAACTTATATTGAGGTAACAAAAAAATTTTTTTCATAGATGACAGAAATCAGTGAGGCCATCAGACAAATCAAGAGATGAAAAACAGAAAAACCATACAGACTGACATTTGAACCACCAAAGTAAGATAAAAAAGTAATTAGGAAGATGTTCCACGCTCTCTTCACAAAGATATGGGAGGAATAAAAGTCCCAGCAGCCTGGAAAGAGGGACACCTCACCGAAATACCAAAGAAAGGAGATCCTAGTAATTGTGAGAACTACAGGAATTCACACTATTGTTAGTGTCAAACAAAGTTAATGGATAGAAAGGAATATCCAGTAGACGCTAAACTTCGAGATCAACGATCTGGGTTTCATAAGGATAGATCATGTACCATCCAAACGAAAGTCGTCACTGTATATATGCTTTTATGAGAAAACTCTGGATAACATGGTTGGGAAAACCCTGTAGAATCTTCAAGAATGTGAACGAAATCCGAGCTATGGGAGTACTTTCTGACAGACAATCTGATTGTAAACAAATTTCTTAGTCGTCAATGACAGATGAAATCCTATAATATATCCATATAAAAAGCATTTCAAATGTTCTCGGAAAATGCTTGGGAAAACAGCACACCCAAACACAATAGATGAAGTCCCAGGCATAAAACATCAGCTACTCCAGAAAACAACAAAGAAGAATGGTCATTCATGTGGGGAGTTTTGCAAGGAAGCGGAACGTATTATCTTCATGTCTTTAACAGTAATTTATGACAAATAAATATTGAGCTCACCTTTTAAATGTCTCTGAATTGGACAAACGTAACGGAGGTACAGGGGCTGAACTCGGGAGGGTTGGAGGCACACAATGTCGGTAACACCTTTCATGAAATATAGTTAGCAATTACATTACGTTTAAGTATTAACAGTTACTAGTTTTATGAACAAAGTAACCAAACAATTTAGTTTACAAAGCAAGTAAATACAGATATATATAGAGTTCTTATCTTAATGACCGTAAATATATTTGTGTATAACTCTAAAAAAATCTTCACCAATTTCAGTTTTTGTTAGCATTAAGAGAAATAAATTAGGAGGTTGTAATCGCCTAATAATAGAAGGGTGAAATGCATCAACCCGACGCGTAAAGGATTTGAAAAAATACTATGAACTCAATGAAGAACTTTCTAAAGCTTATAATATTTCTTAAGTTTGCCTAGCAACTACCTCATATTTAAACTTTGATTTTTGTTGCAAAGTTTGAATCATAGATCTGTTAAGCGTTGAATGAAAATAAGGGCATAACAGTACGTTAAACATCGAAACTGCAAACATAATTTATAAAAAAACTTTCAAGGTATATTCATTTTTTATTGACAAATACAGAAAGTCTAAACAGTGACTCTTTTCGTAAAGATTTGTAATTTTCCTTTTCGGAACTGTGATTGATCAGGTTGTTGCCGCACAAGTATCCTGGATTCCACAGTTTGTTACATTATAATTGTATTGAAATGAAGCTTTTATTTGTCCATGTAGATATTTATGAGCAAATACATTAACTTAACATCGTAATTAATTATTTTATTAGAATCAAGGAAATTTACTATTTCTTAAAACAACCGTTCACTACACGAACATCAATCTGAAATTTATAGATATGAAAATACAAATTGATGAAGGATTGTGCAAGATCATGGGTTGATTGAAGTTATACGTTAACACCGTTGGATGCCGGTTCAGTGGTTCTAGAGGTTAGACATTCATGAGCGAAAATGAAGGTCCTGTGTTGGAGTCTCGCGTGCAAGATCGTATATGAGAACTGCTGAGTAGCCCTGTACTAGGACGAAATAGTCATCCAATGCTTCCAGGTTTTCATTGTTGGTCTAGCTTAGATCGTCTTGTGAAACTGACTGTAGAAATACAAATTTAATTAAAGTATGTAGTTAAAAAATAACTGTTGGAACCAAACATTCCAAAGCATTGTTGCAGAAATGTTTTTGTAAATATAAATTATCCAATTCAGGTCACAAAAACATTTGTGTATTCGTCGGTTGCTCAGTCATGTTCCGATGTTGAAATTTTTTGTATGAACACCAGTCATTTCATGTGAAAAATGTTCAAAGTGTGGTGTATAATCCATCTGTCTGCCACTGTTATGTATAGATCAGGTGATTAAGTTATGACCATTTCAATAAATGTTCAGATTGAAAAGTAACTAAAGGTTTGTGTTGTTGTGTTAAGCAAACAACAGGTCACAGATATTCAGACATAATAATTAATTAAACAATTGAATGTATGTTGTTATCAACAACAATTCACTAGTAGTGGACTACTTTCTTACTGTATCGCGTTATCCACTAGTAACTGTTATTATGATATATTATCAATTATGCTCTAGTAGCCTGAACATAATAGAAATATTCTTCTATTGTATTCTTTGTAAAGATGACAACCTGGGTGTTTGAAGTCAGTTCTTCTTTTTCTAACATTTTTGTATAGAAGCTATAAAATTCAGAGACGATTTTATAAAAATATTGACACATTGTCAACTAATTTTAATTATCAGTATAGGGTTAAGGAGACTGTTGAGTTTAAATTGATAATAATGAATGGACCAATATTAGACTACCATTAAAAGCCTAGAAGCACTGGACGATTACTCAATCCTCGTATGGGACACCTCAGCAGTATGCATCTACGATCCCGCATGCAGGACTAGAACCAAGGACCTTCGGTCGCACGCGCGAACACTTTCAGATTTTTAGTGGTGGTCTAACATTCATCCACTCATAATATCAATCTAAACTAATTTTAAATTATATTAATTATCAAAGATAAGTGTTTGATTTTATTAGGTCAGCTAACTTCACTATATCCATCATGCGAAATACTTACTTTAAAACATTTTGAGTACTTGGTATTTGAGGATCTTCTGAGGTTTTTTCGACAAAATGTCCATAAACATCAAATTCCAGTGGATAGTTAAGAATATAATCGAGAAATCCAACGGTATTTATCACCTTGAACTGTTCAATTTAAAAATTAAAATGAAACATTAACATAATATATTTAATAATTTTTATCCATTTGAAACAATACAAATGTTTTCTTTATTAAAAACATATATCAAAAGGGGTTTTGTGGATACTATAGTAATTTCAATGGTTGAAATCATGATTCAATTGAAGCTAGACCACCATGTAAAACCTAGAAGTAATGGACGGCCGTCTCGTCCTATCGTGAAACTCCTCAGCAGTGCGCAACCACGATCTCGCCTCGTGAGATTCAAACACAGAGCCTATCAGTCTTCGCACGTGAGCGCTTAACCACTAGACCACTGAGCCGACCGGCGTCAAACGGTGTTAATGTCTAACTTCAACCAATGCACGAAACTGAGCTCACACGAGAGACTGATAGGCCCTGGATTCGAATCTCGCGAGGCGGGATCATGGATGCGTATCAGCAATTCATGTCCAATAACAACATTTTCCGACCAGTTGTAAATGACGTAATACGTGTTTAATTTATGAATTCCAATATAATTGTCTCTAGTTTATCATAGGAAACTTTTCGCTTAGCTTCTTAAACAATGAGATGACAGAGATGATCTGAAAAATGTGATTTACTTGCACCATACATTTCGAACAATCTGGTCACACATATACTTGCCAGGGTATTTTATATGAAAATTAATAAAAGTCAATTAAATGAAAATCCAAATAAAAATTAACAAAAGGGGAGAGAAACAATTTTACGTCGTATAAAAAGAATAAGAAATTGTAGCGTTATCTTAGGTCATAGAATGACTTAAGGATTACCAAGGTAAATTCAAGGTTACGACAAACAATTTTTGTACACATAAGGGGGGTTTAAATCTACGAATAGCCAAGGCTTCAATATCCACTAAGTTATTTGATTAAAGCATAATAACTGACAATCATTTTTCTCCTGATGATATCCCTCTATGACTATACATTCACCTTTTTATTATGAGTGTAAGCTTATCTTTAGATTTTAGTGATGAGTTAGTCATATTATTGAATCAACACTATCTCACTTGAATTTTTATTAGTTTGTTTCAAATGTTATCATTATTCATCCTCATCTGATCCATAAATTTGTGGTAATAATCTGAAGACCTTGAACGAGCCTCACCTCTAATATTCTTTTCCCCTCCAGGTAACAAACAACATATACACTAAATATACAAAACAGAGATAGAATAGAGGAGCTATGGCAAGATTGTGTATATATTCTTTCATTATAGTTTTTAAGTTATATGTGAACTATTTACTTAATGCTCAAGTAGTATATGACTAACAATGTAACCTACTAAAATCATCACATAATATTATATAATCAGTTTCCTTATTATGAAGTTAGTCTTATGTATAAATTTTGTTGTAAAAATGAGCACTTTACTGTTACATTTTGTGATTGCATAATATTAACACCATCTATTTCCATATTATATTGTACAGTATCCGTTGAAAAAACTTCATTATGTTGATGTTGAAATCTGATGACGAGAAAAAGAAAGAACAAAAATGAGAAAGTGTCTTGTATACATTTTCATAAATAAAATCTGTAATATCTATAGTGAAATAAAGAAATGGAAACGACACTTATTTTATTAGAAAGAATAGAATATTTGGGGAAAGTGGAACATTTAATACGTAATTATAAAACAGTTAATTCATTTGTGTCGTCCCATTGATGTTTAGGACTACAATTGATGATCAGTCTATTATTGATATATGTGAATTTCGTGTGGATTGCCTCGATATTACCTTATATCACAAGTATTATAAGTAGAGATGGATATCCGGACTCAGTAGCTAGGTGAATAACACGATAGCGTTTGAAGGTAACAATACTGAGTTTGAGTCTCAGAGTGAACATCAACTCTGAGATGCACCTTCACCCAAATTAGGAAGAAGCGTACGTCTTTGATTTCACTGCTAGCCACCATCTATCTCTGCTTATTAAACAATTAGTTTAGGGTGTTGTCATGTTATCTTATTTACAAACTTTTATCTAATGTATTAGTTGTCGATATATGTTTACCACCTCTAGATTATCATTAATTAGTTATGGACCAATTGCTTAGTTTGTGTAACTTCTGGCTATGATTTCTTATTTGTGATTCTATGAGGTAACACATTTTATGTATTTAATCTTGAGTACCTGAATTGAATGTATTTCAATCTTATCGGCTGCGGACTACCTATGGAATGGAAGGAAAATCTATTCTGAACCATTAAGAATACAGGATTTTGAGGCCGTTGTCCAGGGTCAGTTTTGTTTGTTATATCATATCACTGATCAAAGTAAGATCTATTAGTCTAATATGCATGGATTGTGTCTCGTGATTCAGTTAATGGACATAGAATATTAACAGTCACAACTTATTTTACATTCTAATATTTGGATTTCCAGACAAATTATAGCAATCTCTAACATCGTTTGATTTATGTATGATACTTGTAATAGAAAAATAGGTTTCAGGAAAGTTATGCGATTTCTATTTACTAGCTGTATAGGACGTTATATAAATTGTTATTTTCTGGTTTCTAGATTGTCTGGATTTACTTCCGGGATTCATTCATCGTTATCAGTATTTTATGGGTGAGGATAATTATATAAGTTGGACTCCACTATTTAGACGTAAATTAATATTTTTATACACAGTAGCTAAATATATATTTAGTTAGATAGTCAAGTTCTATAGATTTCCAAGTAGCAGGCTAAAAATCGCATTTACAAAAGTGCAATAAGATCACATAAACATGAACTCAAGGATAACATGTAAGATCATTAACTCAGCTTTATAAATGAAGTAGGTTAGATTTAATGACAGAAATCGTATTCATTGTCTTACAATCTAAATGCAGTAAGCACTAATCCAGTTTGGTGAAACAGTGGCATAAAGAATCTCTAAGCACAGATAGACAACTGTAGGCAGACAATCTTCCATTGATTTTGAGGTGGGTGTCCGAAATCATTTCATGATCTCAGTTCTCTGTTAAGAACTATATGGTAGAGTAATTATCTCCTAAAATTATAAAATAAAACCATGATAGTTCTATTTTCTGAAAAGCAACCATGTTGCCTGTATTGTTATAAATATTTACTCCCACTAAATTTAGTAAAATGTGTTAACTACACAATGCACATGTATTTTTATACACGTACACTTGGTAAACACTGTAATATGGTTTAACGACATACCAACTACTTGTATCTCACTTATCTATTGTATAGGTTTCATCAATGTATTACATCTTTTGTCATTTGAGTTATCATCGCATTCTGTTGGTGTATATTCGTACATTCGTAATGTGTTTAAGTCTTTAAATTCATGACTTAGTGCTGATGGTTATATGTGTTTTAGATTCATTTTTTTCATAAGAAAAGTAAGTGATAAATGAGTCTCTGTCTAAGCTTGATGTAAAGTCGATATTGATAATCGACGATTAGATTATAGAAGAAAAAACTAAGAGTCACTGTTATGGTATGCCTAAAAAAAACTTGGGAGAAACGTATGATGATAAGGTTAATTTACACAAGACAATGACATCATTATAGTTAAATATGCTACTAGTAACAATATTACTAACCTATACTGACAAAAAATATCAGTAAAAGATGAATTGAATTTCTTTGCATTTAAAATATTAATACGAAATTTGAATATTTCACCAAGCTTTAAGAAATTAGGTAAATCATTTTCTGAGAATTGTAAAGAATCCATTATCCATTCTTCACTAGATTTCTGATGGTCGGCTTCGCATATTAAAAGAAGAAAATATATTAACGAGGGGGTAAACAACATACATATATATACATTAAAATGATATAAAAAGTCCTCATTTTAAAGGCTATATGGGTGTATTTATGGAAGAAAACTAAATGATTACGAATTAGTATGAGTTTGTATTGAGATAACACATGATCATTATATATTTAGCATGATTTCCCTTATGGTTGCCTTATATCATGAATTGAATAAATTTGGAAATCTCGATCGTTGGATACTAGCTCAGTCAATTGAAGGGAATGTACTCACAAACGGACTTGGACAGTCTAGGTATAAAATTGTCATGATACGTATCTAACTTTATAAACTACACCTTAATGCAGTAGTGAATGAAACTCATTACTCCAACTAAATTTTTACTGTCCCCTCACTGACTCTTGATATAGCCATTAAACTACTAAAGAAGCAAATAAAAAACGAGGGTTCATTCCTCTTTTGAATTAATAAAGAAAGGCAGAGAAATATTTGGATATTTATCCATTTTTGATAGTGTACTTGAGAACCAGGCATTCAAAGCAACCCTCAGTACAAAATTTGACTTTATTACTATCATTACTATTCAGTTTATTTACTGTTGATGATAAAAACTGTAATGAAATATACTCTCAACCTTCAATACGTTCATATTTTTTTGAAGTCATGAATTGAAACCAGAAATAAAAATCTCATTTAAATATACTTATATATACAATTTGGCACATTGGTTGGTTCATATCAACTGAAGTAAACTCTTCATAGAACAGTTAACGATTTGAATGAAATCCAATTGGTAAATTTTGTTAACCGAGAAACTTATCAATAATTCAGTGATGTTTTTGTTTTGTTTTAAAAATATTAGAACAGTTTCTACTCAAATAAATGACCCTCATAGATAATATAATATGGGTTTCACAGATAACTGACCTGGAACTCAGATGGAGTATGATTTTGTTGAAAATAACTTACCTTGCATATATATATATGTGATGTACGAACTAATGTTATGTTTCAAGTAATTGAGTTCACTTCCTCTTTGGGATTATGATATTTTAACTAAAATTATATCAGTAAACAGTTTTACTTTATCCTGATATATAGCCTGAACTAGTGAATAACGTTAAAACTATGATGGGAGATTTGTAGAGACATTTTACATTTAAACAAAATTTCTACGAACAGATTTTAGCTTGACAATTGGTGGAAACCATCTAAATATTAATTGTCTACTCATTCTTCATTAGCTTCTAGAATAATTTCCGAAATATTACAATTTGATAGAGTTGAAAAATTTGAATCATCAGTAGGGATTCAACTAACTAAATATAAAACTGTAACAGCGACGCTTGAAGTAATTTAGTTACATATTTGACAGTGTCATGGTTACACAATCTTGACGAACTTCATACTATGTCATGTCAATTATCCAGTGGATCCTGTTTTTCAATCGTTATCTAGATGAGACCATTCCATAATATAAATTCTTTCTTAACGTTAAATAATTTCACTAGTTGAGATCATGAGTCAATTGAAGCTAGACCACCATGGAGAACAGGGAAGCGGTGGACGGCCGTTTCGTCCTCCTCAGCAGTTTATTACTTTGTTTATTATTTGATATGACCTAGTTACAATTTCAGTCATGTTCATTCAATCAAATAAATTGTACACATATTTATTAACAAGTAATTCATTCAACTTACTCAATGTTGATTCATGAGAAAACTGACAACGACGTCTACATCTCAATTCATTCTCTTTATCATAATCACTGAATTGTTTATTCAAACTTTCTTTCTGATCAAATAAACAATTATCTTTTGATATACCAATAAGTTTTCCATTGATATCATAATTATTTGTTTTAAAACTCTTTTCAGGTGACAATGAAGATCGCTGTTTAAAGGAAATCATTCAATAAAAACACTATAGTTAACCAATCAAATCTACTATTCTGTCGATTATTGGAAATACTTTTAAAAATAAGTATTTAGTAACATTATGTTTGCCTGAGTGAAATATGTTTCAAAGAGATATTCATATTATATCAGATCATCTGTAAAATCATTTTCATCAGTGTGTTGTTAACGAGTTAACCTCAATTGATTTAATGAAACAAAAAAATTAAACTATAAATTAAACAAGAAGGAACTAAATTAACAAAATTAGTAAACATTTAGCGGGTAATACAGTCCATTTCATCAGGCTTCCATGATATATTTGTTCCTCTGTAGCCATTTTAAATGACCTACTACAATTAGAAAGCTTATATAATAAAACTTAATAATGTTTATACCTAATAGAGTAGGGTTTCATGGAGGGTGGTGAAAATTACAATCATGGTGGAAGACTAAACAACTAATGAATCTGACTTCTAAATATTATCAAAGATGTTTCAAACAGTGGAAATGGAGATAGAACACAACTATAACCGCGAATCAGAAGTATTTTAAAGGAATACAATTGAAAAAAAAACGTTAAATTTTGTAAAACACTGTTTTTATGACTTCAATTTATGTAGATATTAAAAGAGTTGAATAGATATTTTAATATATACTTGCCCATTTAATATATTGTAAGTTATCAAATACAATTTCCAATTCATCACATTCATTTGTTTTTACATTAACTTCATATTGACTATTAGCTTGATCATTTGTCATTTTATTTTCAGATCGGTTTAAATTAAGAATAGGTTGAACCTCAATAGTTAAAATACCAGTTATTGTGCTATGTTCATTTAACAAAGTGACTTGACTGGTCATTGGAATCCCATAGTATAAATTCTTTAAGTATAACAGACCTCTAGAAAAAAACGGAATTACAAAGGAAAAACAAACATTATCATTGAAGGGTATTCATTAAACAATTTACTTGTAAGTCATTGAAAGCTATCAATCATGTACATTTTTTACAGTTATCTAAGTTTTAAACTATACTACTTATATTAGTAAGTTGTTATTGATAGTAAAGCCAGAACAAATATTGATGCAGAATAATATGAATTCATTATATTTCGTGGTTTCTCGTCGGATGCTTACAACCAAATAGTATGGAACAATTGACATAAGTGAGTGTAAAGAATTGGAATGACAAAAGTTAACAATGATAACTATATATACATATATGTGCGAGAATAGATCAGAGATTACTAGGTGTTAGAATCAAGGTAGTGGAGTTCAGAGACATAAGATAATTTTAGAGGTAATAAAGGATTCATGGGATTAAAAACTCATAAGATGAGTTATAAAATCTGATAAGTTCACATAATTTAAGAGAATCAAGTAAGCGGAAATGTTTGAGTGAACGGCTAGGTTTTCATTTAAGTGTAGTTAATATTTGTAATTTTTCTTATTATGTGTACAATTTCTCAGACTATTAATCCACATCAATCATGGAATACGTTTTACCAATGAATCGGAAATGTATTTAATAAATATTAATTAATCAATTAAAGGTACTTCAAATTTTATTATATCACTATCATCTCAATCAAAAATTATTAACTCACGAGGAGATTGAGTTAAGTATGAATAACTTTGACGATTGTATCGCATGAGGATAGTAAATTTTTACATGAGATAGAGAGTATTATGGAAATAATTGAGCCTGTCGGTCGATGCTCATATTCACCAATTGGTTTATACCCTATGAACAGTTGTCTTGATAAGGCTAATCACTTAAATGATTTCGATTCACGGTATCTTACATATTTCTTTCACTAAGTATGTAAGTAGGTGACTCCACAGCAATGCGCATCCACGATCCCACCTCGCGAGATTCGAACCCAGGACATATCGGCCTCGTGCACGAACGCTTAACCTGTAGACCACTGAGCCGGCCGGCATCCAACGGTGTTAATGTCTAACTTCAATCAATCCACAAAATTTAGTCACCGTTCACCATTATTCAGAATAAAATTAGGTAGTTAGGCGTAATACAATCTTATCTTCTCAACATATACTTTTTTCTCCTTTTTAGCTTCATCATACATAAATATCAAATTTAATGGATACAAAGGGATTTAAATATTTCAAATCAATCTTCAGAATGATAAATATATCATTTCTTCACTATCTAATAATTCTATGAGGTTTAAGTTCAAACCTCATTAGCGACTTACACAACATTTTTAACCTATACGTACTTGGTGATGAAATAGGCTAAGTAACTACCAAGATCCATAACTGTGATAAACAAATTTGATGTATAAAGTAATGTTTCATTTAGAAGTTAAAAGATGTGGACTGTATTGGGTCAGATAATGTTTACTATAGGGCTATACTTCTAAAAAGTAGCATAAATTGGAATACAAGAAATAATATACACTATTATTTCTCCTAGAAGCTGAACAAATAAACTTAGTTTTGTTTAACTCGTATAACACAACAATTTGACTGATAAGTAGAAGCCCAAACAAGAGAAAGTTTAAAAAGTCAAAAAACAGAAATACAACTGGATTAGCTTATACATAAAAAAGTAAACATTATATCTTAATAATTGAGTTCATGAGTCAATTGAAGCTAGACCACCACGGAAAACCGATAGGTTCAGGGTTCGAATCTCACGGGGCGAGATCGTGTATGAGCACTGCTGAGGAGTTCCATACTAGGACGAAACGGCCATCCAGTGCTTCCAGGTTTTCCATGTTGGTCTAGCTTCAATTGACTCATGAATTCAACAAACAAATTACTACATTTTTTAAAAGTACTTAGGAATTTGAGGAGATTAAAACAAAGTTTTTTACTACTTACCTGCCAATTTTATGATACCAAGGAAATTCATTTCGAAATGGATCCTTTTTAATGTCATTGAATGGCATTTCATTATCATTGGAATTATACAGTTTCTCATTTAGTGTATTATATTCAGTAGTTTTCAGTGTTGGAGAAAATGCTGTCTCTGCTTCATAATAATCATGCATTGCTTGAAGACGACGTCTAAAATGTGTTAAATACATTCAAGAAACCCTTTTAGTTAAAAACCCTTCAATCAATTAGTTTGAATACACTCATGAATTGACGACAAAAACCTTACCAGTAATTTGATAATATGGCAAATCATGTTCAATGTGTATTTTTCTGATGAGTATCACTTTCAATATGTAAAGTAAATCATGTAAGCCAAAAAAACTAAATTAAGTAGAAGATGAATAGTTTATTTCCTGACTTGTTTTCTAAATACTACTTGAAACACTTCAGTGGTTAGCTGCTTTATTCAAATATGGTGAAAAGGATAAGTAACTTAGTGTTGACTTCAGAGTTTAACGTTACACATCAGTTGTATCAATGTGCGAAATAAGTAGATTTAAGTAACTTTTAGAAAGCTGAGACGTTGTATGAATACAGAACATGATTTACATTACTATGATACTTGGAAAGAAAATGTTTCTATGTATGAAAAAGTTCAATGTTTCTGTTGATCCTGTGAACGGTTAATTAATCAACTGTAACTTGACTTATTTTAAGTTATTTTGGCTAACTGAAACCAGTTGATCTTTCAAAATCCATAACTGATGATTCAACGAAGACAAGAGCATCAAAATCCAATAATTAAAATACTTAGCATGATGAAAATTATGTTGATTGATATGCAAATTTATAGGTGGAGATAATACTTTTGGATAAACTAATATATAAATGAGTTATCATACAGATTAAGAAGCTGTCAATGTGAGGTTATGAATATTGTTAAATTTCATTGAAATCACAAACAGATCTAAGTTAAACCAACATTGAAAACCTGAATGGACTTGACGGTTAGTTCACCGCATTATGGGACTTCACGACCCTACTACCAAAAACCGAACCCAGGACCTTCGGTCTCGCGTGCGAACGCTTAACCTCTGGGATCCAGTGGTGTGCATGTAATATTTGGGGAGAAACTGGTTTTTTAAGGGTTTGAGATTTCTAATCATTTTCACGTACTATATTGCCAGTCTGACTGTTGACTTATTTCGCAAATTTACTTATGTATAACAATCAAGGCTTTAACTCTTATCAGTCCTCCAGCCTCTTCTAATCTGGTAATCAATCAAAAGATGATGATAGGAGACAGATCAATTCTTTATTATGTGCAATTTAATTATGACTCTAAACTCACTCAACAATATACTGAACATGCCAAACCAAGCACACCACTAATTAAAGAATCACACTTTAAACACAATCAAGCAATAAGTAGTAGATGGTGAAGCAAACAGGTTGACTGAACGCTTACAAGAAGAGCAATATAGAAGTGCAATGACACAGTTACTTACTAGCCATACGAAACAGATTCAAATAGTAGCAGTTCGAAAAGTAGCGCTGAAAATTACAACCTTCCCAATATTCGTTGCATTGTAACAGTAAAAGTCTAACTTCAATCAAGCCACGATATTGTGTGACCATCTTTCAGTGTCTCCGGTAGGTACCTTCCTCACACCCAACACGGCTTCTTACTTAGACTCAGGAACTTCCATCTCAGAGCCATTCACTAGTGAACAATTCAGTAATCTCCCCCAACCCCATAATGACAATTATCATGTGCTTTTAGCTTAAGATAATGTGCTGTAACTAATTATGGAGGATAAGATTTCATCATACATTTGTGTTCTTGAACTTTCCCCCATATATAACTGGTTTCGAATCGTTATGTCCTGATAAGAATAATGAATGGTAACTTCTGGGATCCATTTATGGACCAATACTATCAGTATATTTTTATCGTGTAATTGTTAAATAACTAAACTGTTTATATTCACATCCCTCTTATTATGAGCTTTATTTTGGCTTATGAACCATTATTATACGATTTATCATTCTTGAGTTATGGCCTGTCTATTAATTACTATCTCCCTCATTCACAACCACATTTGGCTAATTCTTGTACAAATGATGTTTTCATATTTTATGGTACGTTGTGGTCTCTCTGGTTGGTATGTAAACCCAGTATGTTTGAAATAAATGATTCATATTGCAGAGGCTGAGATAGGTGTTTTGGACTTAACTGGCTATGCTAGACAGGAAGCGAGACCAATAAGTACTTTAGGCTGCTCGCACGTGTTTTATGCGTCACTGGTTCGATCGATATTTCTCTGCTCTCTAATCGGCGGTCACAAGTTATAACATTAACATTAAATACATGATATTTTTATGCTTCTAAGTCGGTCGAATGATTCGATTACTTCAAATATATCCCTATTTACAGCTGTCCAGAACTTCATGTTCACCTTACAGTAAATAGGAGTGATTTCGATTCATAGGTGTGCACAATGTACCTAGAGGTATAATCAAAAATTCATCAATGGAACAGTCGTGGGCAAACAGTATACGAAACAATATTTAGAAATGGATCGTAGGACATAATGTGTGATACCAGCCAACCTCTAATAGATATAGTGGTCTATAACGTTATAAGTCAATCATACTATCAGTTATCACAAACTAACTCCCTTGAGAAACCAGATACCAAATAAATTAAACACAACCATTACACAACAATCAACCCATCAAATCTCACACGATAGTTTCCTTTTATTGAATTTTTAGTTGTTGTATTGTGTATAAAGGAAAGATAAACTTTTCACTTTATGCCATTACAATTATAGTCTTCCAAATTTAACTATAAACTTACTGAAATGTATTCAAACTCCAATATTGTATTGCATTACTTAAAAGATCACGAATTTCTATAACTAAAATAGTTGGATTTTTTAGTTTATTTTTATAGATTCTTTCTAATGAATACCAATATGAATTAGATAATTGGTTTATTTCATTTTCTACTTCCGGTAAACTTTGTATGGATGAACATTCACTGCATTGATTTTCACATGAATCATAATTTGATTTATCCAAAGGATTTAATTCATTTGGAATAGGTGTATATGGTGTAGCAGTTAATAAAACAAATTGAAATTGAACCTAAAAAATTAGTGTAAACATTGTCAATATAATTAGAATAGAACAATCTAGTACAATCATTTGATTAAATTCAATCTTACTAAAGTTTCTATTATGATATTATGTAATTAGTAATAACTATTGAAGGAATAACCAAGGGAGTTATTACTGAAGGCTTTCACTCATGCTATTGATATATATATATATAAACTGACTTAGCTAACACAATGTATGAGACGCCTTCTATGTTATCAGGAGATTGACGTAGTTCAATCAAAAGTAAAAACTCAACAACTTTCTTAACATCAGATGCACTTAATTTATAATTTTCTGATTGAAAGCTATGATTATTTGGTTACAGCATCATAAGTAGACACCAGGTAAGGTAATTCAAATGTCGTATTTTCTGTATGATGTATACCATAGCCCTTGAATCAAGTGCAACACTATATATTATGATTTAGACTCATAGAAACTATGACATTTTGTTATCTGTTGTCTGACTTAGATAGAATGATAAGAGATTATGTCATTTTTTAAAGCTAAAGCTGACAGAATAATCCAATTCCCAAGTTAACCTGAGGATAAATAATCTAGTTACAGTCTTGTATAGTTCCTAAATTATCATTATCTAACTAAATAAGTAATCAATTCAGATCACTAAAGCTCTGGGTAGCTTTAGGGTGCATAAAATTGTTTAATAGTGAACAGTTTATGCTTCGTAATTCTCGTTGTTGGTATGAAACTTTCCATTTCCATTTCAGTACTTTGTTTTTCCCACAAGTTTCAATATACTTTAGGTATATTATAGAAGTTATGCATTTAGTAACTTAGTGAACATATCATTAAAATTTTTATACTTACCTTTTTATTTAGTTCTACACTTAGTGCATTTGCTTCTTTAAGATAGACAGCGTTTTCCCATAATTGATCCTACAATTTCAGTATTACCATAAAAAAATTGATCAGTTGGAAGAATGAATTTATTAAAATATTTTGGGAAAACATAATATCATCATACTCTCGGACAAATCAATATTATAAGTCAGTATTTTGGTTAGTTTACGTATGTTTTCAACCCTGCCTGGAGCCTCTTTAGGGCTACTGTCGGTCCTAAGCCCGGCTAAATGAGGAGGGTTGGGTATGAGGTTAATGACCCTATCCCGTAAAAAACTAACTCGCTAATAAAATGCTAACGTATATTTTCAATAATGAAAGAAACAAATATAAATTGCGTTTTTACTTACGGAAAGCTACAAAATTATGATAGAGCATTAGTTTACAAATGTTTACTATGCTGAACAATAAGTTTCATACTTACTTTCCTAGTGATTTCCTTGTAAATAATCATTCTATGGATTGTAAATTCTGTCATTAATTTGAATAAAATACACAAGTGATGATTAGTACTGGTCTTTGATTTGAATTTGTACTAGAAAGTCTTGATTTATGAAACTAATCAATTTATTCACTGAATAGACGTAGACATTTCAATAGTTCTTTAGATGAGACTATAATCTATGGACGATCTTTGAGCGACACTAGACTGACCTTGAACATTTCTACCTAATAACCAAGACCAAATGAAGGTTTATAAACCTGTATGAGGAATTATAATTATGATTTACAGTTGATAACTAACATAAGCTATAATGCCAAAATTATTTATCCGAATGAATGAGTGAATTTCCCGTCAAAATCCTAAACCTGTTATCTTATACGTAATTGGTTCGTCCATAAATTATAGTCTCGCTGTTCTTTATGTTAACTCTTTTACTTTGGTAAAATAGGTTTAGTCATTAATTTATTAGGTAAAATTGTATGTTTGTTTTCAAATAAGAAACTTATTACCGGAATTCTAAATGAATAATTACGATGAGATTGTGTACATTTAATACATGATTAGAATAAAGATTTGAAAAATATGACAGAGGATAATGATAGGATATAATGTCTCTATATATACACCGTTACATTTATGTTTGTACAGTTGATTTATAAAGGAGAAGCCACAAATGTTTTTGCGTAAGTTTTAAGTAATCACATTTACAGAACTTCGATTAGTCTTAAATCTTGAAAAGGTCGGACAAAACTAATGAAATTCTTGTATGAACAAACTGTTGTTAGATTAATGTTACATATTTATAAGAATAAAATAAAAATTATTTTTGTTAAGTAGCTTATTATTTACTGTATGAAATAGTATGTATCTAATTGTATAATGAAAGTTTAAATGGAGTAAATAAAGAGATCATGTATTAAGTTATTGAAGGCCATTGACAAGTAATGAACTCGTCACTAGTTTAAGTAAACAGAATATGTTCAATACTGAAAGGGTAGATAAACGTTTTCTTTAGATAGTGGTTGGAGGTAGTCGACAGGAAACCCAATGGTAACGTCTCTGACTATGAAGCTGGGTGACGCGGAATCGAATCCGTCAGGGAGTACCAGTTCTCTCAATATTACAGGTACACCTTGCTGACGAGTGCCAAGTACCCGGGTCCAGGGATTCCTGTTGACTACCTCCAACCACCATCTAATCTTAACATAGTGCACGCAATGTCAAGTCACCTACACTAGTGGCCACATCGCAAACTTGATCGATAACATTCTATCTGCACTAATAAGGACTTGACAGACATGACACTGATCACCACCCAGTGATCAATCAATTGTGAAACGTTTTCTTTTTCAAACTGTGATAATAATATTGATTAAATCGCATATCATGTGAAGATGTAGATATTTGGTGAGTATATGACTCTTATTAATTTAATAATTTCATTCCCATAATAATAGTGTTTTGCATCTATCTATATCAATGATACCTAAAACAGAATAAAAATTGCCATAAATGTTCTACTTACAAGCTGGCATTTTTATAACTTAATAGTATTACTAAGTATAAATTGGGGGAAAAAATGAAATGTGGTATCTTTAACTAAACATCAAACTATTCTTTCCCTTTCATACATCTTATAGATTCCTAATAACATCTTAGATTAAAAATTTTAAGAAGAATTTTATACCAGGCAAATTATAACATTACGTCATAATATTAAAGAGTAAATTTACCCGTAGTGATGTAAATTGATGATTAGTCCATTTATTAAAAACCCATCGAGCTAATTCATATTCACGATCTCCCCATTTACAATCATCTAATTAAGGAAAAAGAATTTTTTAATTTTGAAATAATAAGATCTTTGATATAAGTGATCTATGTGATCAAATGGTGTTGAGGAAGTTCAACGTAGAAAAATATTTGACCAGACCAATAAAGCAACAGACTTCAATGAAATTTTTGCATAGTTAAATAATTTAGTATATAACTGGTAAATATTTTCAAATAATCGAGAAATAAGTTAAAGGGTAATAATTCCAATAGTTGAGATTATGCGTCAATTGAAGCTAGACCACCATGGAAAACTTGGAAGAATTGAATGGCCGTTTCGTCTTAGTATGGGACTCATTAGCAGTGCGCATCAGCGATCTCGTCTCGCGATATTACAACCCAGAATATGTCGGTCCCGGGAGCAAACGCCTAACCATCAGACCATTGAGCCGGTATCCAACGGTGTTAATGTCTAACTTCAACTGATCCACGAAATTGAGCCACCGTCCAACATTGTCTTCAGGGAGTTACTATCTCACAACAGACCCGGTTGAACTCCACTAGTCACTGCTTGTCATTAGAACTCCAGAAAATACCTCTTGAAGCCAGTCATTAGTGAGTATATGTTGATTAGTATCAGAAGGGGTTTTTGTGGATATTATAGTAATTTTAAGAATTCTGCCTAGACAGCACATCCAACTGTAAATTATCTTTTAAAATAGAGACTACTAAATGCAATTAAGTAATACGACAGATATTTCCTAATTTTCATGAAGAGTTCTCTTTTCGGCGAACTCATTTTCAAAGCTGTACAATCGCAAATATATATACTTATCATCCTGTAAAATAAGTATACATATTTGCGACTGTACAGCTTTTTTCGTTACCAGATTCGTTAATAGCATACGGTTAGGAAGGAGCAAAATACATACCTCAGTAATTAGCTTTGGTTGTCAGTTAAACATTTTGGTGTATTAATTTTGTAGATAACACACATTTAATAAATTTTCAGTTTGTGGTTGTGGAGATTGATGAAGTTTACTAAGATCATGAAAAGTTCATTGCTAGAAAAGCATTGAAAACCTGGAAGCACTGAATGATTCATGCTTTCAATGAAATTCAACAATCTCCACAACCTCAAATTGAAAATTATCCTATGACCACTAGTGACTAGCTCCGAGAGGTAATTCTGAGAGTTCTAGTGAGAAGTCGTGAACAGTGATGTGTGGTAGTTACCCATCGCACGACATCATGAATTTATTTAATATAGATACCGGCTAAGTTTTCTGGGGTTAATGCGTACCGAATGTCCTGAATTTCAATCCCACTTGCGTGACCGTGAATGCACCTGCTGAGGAATCCTATACTATGACGAAAAGGCTGTCCAGTGATTTCAGATTTTCAGTGGTAGTCTAAGTTGATCGGTTAGTGACTTCAATGAAAATCTATTAAATTGATAGTTAATTAATATTAACTGTTGACATTTAAGTGAATTTAGGTCGAATTATTGACCTGATATTTACAATGGGATATATTTCATTGTAACTGGTGATGTCATTTAGATAAGCTGTCAACCAGTACTCCGAGATATTTCGATATTTTTCCACTGATCAAGTACTGAATATCAGTTTATATTGCAATCATAACAAATAGTCGAATAAGTAACAGTATCAGCATTTTATTCAAGTCATAGCATCTAATGTTAAAGCTGTTCCATCAAAATATAAAAAATTGTTAATGTGAAATCATAATGAAATATATTAATTTAAAAAGAACATATCATGACGTTCGTATTTGAAAAAGGTAAATAATGAAGGCCAATTACGTAAAAGAACGATGAACTATAACATCTAGTCAGTACTTCGCTGTTATTTCTAACTTTTTAAGGATTCTTGACAATCAGGAAGTACTAAACAGATTTAATCTCATTCTATGTATCAATAAATGTAACAAAGCCTTTAATTGTGAGTGAACCATCACTATTTAATTCGTTCACATCACTAGTAAAAGGATAAGAAACTTTATTGACGACCAACTTATTAAAACTCGAATTTATTTCATTAATCTAATTCATTAAGTATTATTTGCCTTCAAAGTTGTCAGTCATAATCATCACATATAAAGTTTTATTATTACTAACTTTAAGGTAGACAAATTGTATAAGAAATCATTTATAATAAAGTCTTAAGTTGCCACTTAGCCGCAGAATACGCATTTGAGCATTGAAGATGACTACTTGTTTCTTTTGACAAAATATCAGTCCCATCAGATTTTTACGGGAGAGAAAGCTAGATAATCCCAGAAACATTTAAATACTGAGACTTTTGGCGAACAAATTCAAATATCTGTCACAACTGATGATTTGTCAGGAATTAACTAATAATATCTGATGAATGAATAATATTAGGATTAGATCAAATACCAAGACAATTATTGATAGAGATTATGGATCGATAAATGTTAAATCATCATTGAAAACCTGGAAGCACTAGGCGACCATCTTGTCCTAGTATGAGACTCCTCGGCAGTGCACATCCATGACAATAACATAATTGGGCTAGAGGTTAAATGTCTGCGCGCGAGACCAAAGGTCCTGGGTTAGAATCTCGCGTGCGGGATCGTGCATGAGCACAGCTGAGGAGTCCCGTACTATGACGAAACGGCCGTCCAGTGATTTTAGGTTTTCAGTGGTGGTCTAACATTGATCGATTCATGATCTCAACCAATAACTCAACAATCTTCACAACCTCAAACTGATAACCAAGACAGTCGGTTGTTAGTAATTTCACTGAAAATAATTTCAATTATATGGCTTACATATATTTTCATTATGTTCCGTTTCACCAACTATTTCTTCCTGGATCGTAGATTCTAACATTGAATGACGTTCAACTTGTTCTTGCAAACTTTGTATTCGACCTTCATACTCCTTATAAAGATAAAAAATATTAAACCAGAATTATTTACTAGATAAATTGCTCACAGTTGATAAATTATATAAATGTAACTGTTAGTGAATAGTATCGTAAAGACCACTAATAAAAACCGAATTTTATGATAACTAACAAAAGTGAACGAGAACCCGAGTGGGGAAGACCAATTAGTTGTTTAACGCAAAATCACATATTGCGTTTGTAAAATATGAAAATCATACATTAAATACATCATTTTCATATCTTTTTTGTATTGTCCTTTACATACTCCATTATTCTTTTAATTCTGTTGTTATTTCTATTGCTCTCTTATTTCTTTCCTGTTCTCTTCATTTCTATCTTCTGTGGACAGGCATTCCACTTCCGTCTATTGTTACATATTACTTTATCTGTTAACATAAGCAATAAACATCACAATACGGTTGTTTCTTTCCCAAACGGTACTAAAGACAACATCATGTTATATAAATTTACATATTTGTAAAATCGTTTAATTTGTATTGTACTGTAACAGGAATTCAATATTACCGGTTCGGATAACGAATGATTACTTGTAAAATATTTATGTCGAATATAATTATTTTTGTGAAGAGAAACTTATATGATACTATGCAATGATTTAAGATGATAAAAGTCAACTATTTAGAACACCTATGAACATTTAGAAAAATCAGTTCACCAAAATATTTACTCACATACTTCATAAGTTTTTAGTATGACCTGACGTCTAGTCTCATAAAATATTAGTTCACAGCGCACCGCTTTGGAACTTTCTCTTTATAAAATTCTTCTATAAGACCAGAACATACATACTAATTGGTCACTATGTAGCATACAATGGTACGACACCTTATCTCTAGTTCTGATAGTATGTGGGATTAAATCGAGGGTACGAATCTCCAGAGTATCACATCGATCAAATTTGCACATACATTTAACTGGTAAGTTCTAACCATAACAAATCCTAGTTTCATTTTTTCCTGATGATCAACTGCGACCATCAAACATTTAACTAAAAGAATCGCAGTGCTCAGCCAGCAAAACGTTTGTTCACATTATTTTTTATGAGAGTATAAACAGTATCAAGAGCTATAGGATACGACAGCACACGGGAACTGGTGATGGAATGTTATATATTCTACTGTTTTAAGTGCCATCTTCAAAGGTATCTATTTTATTACAGTTGTTCACACGTTTATTTTTACATCTTTTAATCAGTAAAACATACTTTTCGCTGTTCAGCAAATAATCGATCAGATTGTTCTTTCTCACGACGATATTGTTCTTCTAATTGTATTAGACGATTTTCAACTTCTTTTCTTAAATCAACACCTTGTTTTTCTAATAATTCACTGATGGCATAATTCCAGTCAATTGGTTCTGTAACACTTGCTGAAATATTTTTCATAGAGATTGAACTTATGGGTTATTAACATTAAAATTAGGTTATCTTAAAGACAGTATTAACAGCCATAAAAACATTGGTACTTGAGTTATCTACCTAATCTGTGAATAACACTAGAAGATTTAAAAATTAAAGTTATGATAATAAAATTCATTTAACGCGTCATATTCAACTGTGATCGACCAGTGAAAAAGGATAGATAGGCTTCTCCATGTCAACTACGATATAGTATATCTTTATACATAGAAGATCGATTTCCACTCTAGATTCACTGGGTGTAAACTGACTGTGTCAAGTGATTTACTACTCAGCTTATAATTCGGTCCTGTATTCTGGTAATGAAACGTGTATTTTGGTGTAATGCGGTTCATTCAGCATCAGTGTATCGATCGAGTATCTAATATATTGCAGTATAATCTCGAATTTCGTGCCATGATCAAATCTATTACTAAGTATTTTCCATGATAACAAAAGTCAAATTAGTGATACAATAAGACTGAGATGATAAGTTGATGAACGTATAACAACATGAGACATTGAACTTATAATTATTGAGTACAGTTAAATGTACTGAAATCGAAAGCTTTATTGGTCTCACAGCCATCTTTAAACTTCAGCTAACAAGTTGCAAATACATTGTTATTAAAATATATAATTCTTACCAACAGGTCCCAATGTCATTGGTGTATGAGTGATCTACGAAACTTGGATTTTCCAGTTTATTTTCAAGTAATATCTATTCATACTTACTTTCGTGTTCCATATTTTGTATGTGAGCAGGTCTAATTCACAGGAAAAAAACAATTCCCATGACCCGTATTTTACTTTTTATGACAGTTTATTTTGAGGAGGAACTGAATCAAACTTCTACTCTCTATAGCATTCATCAGCAACATAAATTAAATCACTTCACCTTATTTACCGATCACTATACTGTTCATTAACTTAACAATCCAAAATTTACTCATCATCGCAAATCCTGAAATCTTTTCTCTCTAACGGATATACATAAAAATGTTGGATACAATATCATTCATAGAATGGTACAAACTGAAGACCCATTAAATACAGGACGTAAAGGAAAGTTTTGTCGTTTATGTTTGAAACTCTTGAACTGTATAGACTCATAAACAACATACGATCAAATTCAATAAAGATGAAACGATATACTCGTTGATGTACATTTCAGCTTTAGTCAACTTATAAATATTTTTTGAGTGAAATCATGAGTCTATTGAAGCTAGATCACCATGAAAAACCTGGAAGCACTGGACAGTCGTTTCTTCCGAGTTTGGGACTCCTCAGCAGTGCGCATCCACGATCCCGCATCCCGCGAGACTCGAACCCAGGACCTATCTGTCTCGCGCCATGCGCCTAAACAAATGGACCACTGAGCCGGATGGGGAGTCCCATACTAGGGCGAAATGGCCGTCCAGTGCTTCCAGGTCTTCCATGGTGATCTAGCTTCAATTGACTCATGATTTCATTCAAAACCTTAACAAGCTCCACAACCCCTAAACTGATTATAAATATTTCTTTGAAAAATTCTCCAGTAACCCTAATATAATCGATCTCATTAGTTCTTGGTCCCTATTCGGACTTAGACAATTTATCAGAAAGCACTACGTTAACGAAGGAATATTTATAACTATTTATTCCTCAACCGTCGTTCAGTAAATAATGAATTAAATCACCGAGAGCTATACAACAAGATTCATTGTTCAGGCATACCATTTTATCTTCACTATTTCGATACAAAATTTGAAAATAAATAATGCAAATCATTTGATTAATTTTTAATTAACTTAGACTCACCTGACATATCGACGGGAAGATTCTTTTTCTCGCGACCTGTGAACATATTATTACAAAATAGATTTCATCAATGCTTATCCTACATCCTGATTTTCGTTAAATTACGGAAAGGAAAGTATAGACAACGACATATAATGGGTCAAAAATTGACTGAAGTTAAACGTGAATGAACGTCAATCCTGAGGTTTATAGTTATTGAGCGTGGGATGATAATTAAGATTTTGGGTCTGAATCATGGTATGCTTTCGGATATCATAAAGCTGAGTATTCCCAAACTAGAATGAAATGTATGCATAATGCTTTGTGGTTTTCGATGATTGTTCATTCAAAGCTAGTCCAGGATATAAACTATATCTTAATAGAATAATGTCTTTGCAAATATCTTGTTTTATTTACTTAACCATTTGAATGCCCTATTCTTTTGAAGTTGAACAAAAATGTTTGAGGAAGTATCCCGCCTTTCTATAATAATAGAGCAAACATCCAGAGACAAAAAACCATATGCAAACTAAACTAAAACTTTCATAAATTAGTCCCATGATAATTTGTCTTTTGCTGAGATGAACAGAATACGTTGAAACCTGATAAGCTAAGTAGTTATTCAAAAAATATTAATATAGATAGTTAAAATGATCCATTAGAAATGAAATGTTTAGTGAATCCCTTCTGACTGTTCTTACAAAGTCGAATATAACAAAATTTATTGAGTTTGGGATATCTCATAGTGCTGAGAAACTATGATTTAAAAACGTGATGGACAGTTTCAGTATTCTTTAAAAGGTCTATAAAACAAACCAAATAATTGAGGGTTCCTCAGAGTGTTTTTAAGTTCAAAACAAGCTGTTAAATCTTAAACAGTTGAAAGGTAACTAGTTATTCAACTTTTTTTCATTCGGTTGATCATAAGCACTTTTCTTCACATACTTATATGATGAAAATGAAAGAAATGAATCGAATGAGATAAAGATAATTTCCGTCATGAATTCTCCCTGAGTTTTGAAGATCTTTAGTTTCATTTTATTTTGGACATCTGAATACATAGTTGTTGATAATTTGTTGCTTATTTCACCCTGATTTTGCTATAATTCTTCAACTGACATGAGCTCATATCGAAAAATATCGTAAAACTACACAATGGTTTCTACTTCAAATTCTGTTAATGTACTGTTTAGGTACCGACGTAATTCTATAACACGGGAATGCACCAATCAATACTTGATTATAATTTATAATTGTTACAGTATGCGGGTAGGCAGACATTCGATGAATATTGTAGATAAACCGTTTATGACTCTTAATCAACTTAAGGAAAATTTATTTCCTGTAACTATCCTCATGGATTTGCTAAAAACTATCTAACTATAAACTTTTGAATGACGAATTGAATTTATCGTCAATTATTTACGACTGCACATGATTAACTGGCTGTATTATTTTCCATTCTACATAGATCTCTTAAATGAGAAGATGGATAGAAACAATGTAACGTCAGGTTGACAATTAATTTTAAAATAGAGTCGATAATTTTACATAGGTGACAACATCACACTGATGATTATGTCTCATTTCATTGAGTTTATCAAATAACTGTGTGTGTATACTCGATTTATATGGAGGAATAATCAAGCTAGATAAATGATGTTGAGAACATGTGTCAAATTGGGTACAGGTTCAATTCATATATCATATGTAAGAAAAACGAACGTGTTACTCCGTAACAAGTCATATGATTGACTTTAAGACAAGCTTTAACGATTTAAATAATATGTGGAATCTGTATTTATTGTTTTATGGTTTCCTTAATTCACAGTTGATTGCCTTAAGTAATTGATATGATATTTGATCGATAATCCTGTGACTCAATTAAAATCTAATTGTTATCACTATCTAGTTCCGATTATCAAACGGTCTTGATTTTATGAATGTGCACTGACAATGCTTATTTAATAGGTTTTATCACGAAAGGAAAGTACATTCAGTGTGCCTGCTGATTCGTTCACTCGTGTATTCCTTTTTTAACCTTTTCCGAAGTTTTTACTGCAACCACATACTTTCAGGTTAAACGCACATCAAACAGCGGCTAAACGTAATAAAACCAGGAAATGAACAGTCTTACAATATATACACAATATATCATAAGTTGCTACAAGGTGATTTTCAACTCTTTAAAGATCAACGTCATTCATATACTCGTTTCATCATTTTGTTGGAGTTTTGTCCTCTGAGCTGGATGGTTTGGTTGTGGAGCTTTCATCGTTCTTCTGAACGACATCATCAGCACAAACTTCAGGTAGAAGTGAATTGTTCGGATTTCTCCACATGTGGTTCACAGCTTGTCCTGTACACCTCGATACTGATTAGTTCTTATTGACCTTAGATGTGTCATTGTTTAGCTCTTTTTTTGGTTGCTTCTCTCATCGGTTTGGTTTTCTCTCCTATGTTTGTGCATAATTTTCCTGATTGGTCGGTAAGTTGGATCAATTTCATTATGTTTGCTTATTGATGATTTACCTAAGTGCTAAGCTTCTAAAAATTCTCTGGTGTTTTTGAAATTGCTTCTATCCAAAATCTCCACACTTTTCCAGTCGAATGTGTGTCCGCAGTTGTCCACATGCATTAATATAAGCGAGGACATGTCATGGCGTTGTAGTTCATGCAGGCGAAGATGAAGAGGGCGTTCACTTTGTCCGATGTAGTGTTTTTTGCAGTTGACACAATTTATTTTGCAGATGATGTTTGGTTTGTCTTATTTTGTCATTTTATCCCATAGTTTGCATAGGATTGATTGTAGGGATTTTTATACCGATAAACTAACAGTTAATCCGTAGGCAGATCAAAATTTAATCCATTTTATACTCCATCAATTATACAAGACTATTTCTTGTAGGCATGAACTTTATACTGTACGAAGTTCTAATAACTCTTATTACATTATTCCACCTACCATTATTCCAAAAGTACCGAATAGTCTCATACATTCTTTTTATTTCATTAGGATTTACCATTGCCGTAATTTATCTGCATTATGAACATGAATTACTTTTAAAATTACTTTCGGATCAAGCTAATATTTAAATCTTTAGAACAGTGTCAACAAGTAATGAGTGATGAAGAATACAGTCATATTTTAACCTTCATTATTCATTCGTATATACCCTGATTGAACGTAATATATGAAAACAAGAACAAAAAGCTACGAAAATCTAAAAATTAAAGAATGTTATAATTAAACCTATGAGCATGGTTATATACAGATATATACATAGTCAGAAATATACTGGGGAAAAAAACTCCAAAACAGACATTTCAGACATTCTTTCAATGATTTTGAATAATTCAACTACATTAGTTTTGCAGTAATATAATGAAAATTGAAGTAGACTACATTTTACTTTGTTAAAGTTAAGCATCGATAGTGTGGTGTGGATTACTTATATCCTCACAAGTAGTATATAACGGTGGTCAGGCATAGAATGTATTTTAGTAGAAGGTCGATGAGGAAAGAACGTGAGCGGAACGCAATTGGTATGAAAACGCATGAACAATGAAATCTGAGGCAATGGATATATATATATATAATCATTCAGTATTCACAATGAATGTAGTGATTTAGTCAAATTATTATATGGAGATAGTGTATACAATTGAATAAAATAGACATGCTTAATCTTTTGAACTCTCTTACTATAAATGTAATCAGAATGATAGATGTGATGACTCTTTAAAAAAAGGTTTCCTATATATGTAAAAGAAATGAAAAAAATAATTTTCCTCTATTGAATGTATTGTTCTTGAAAAGTTGAAGTTTAGTTTTACTTCTCTCTTAAATTTCAATCATTTCACATAACTTACTTTGAAGTGGATGATTGAAACGAAACACATGACTTTTGCCTAAAATTACACGAGCTCCTGTATGAAGTTGAATGCGTTTTGTAACTAGACTTCCATTTACATAACATTCAGCTTCATTAAGCTGCTCAAATTCAACCATACCTATAAACCAATGGAAAGTTAAAGATTACATTTTTTTATCTCATAGAATAAAACTAAAGAAATGATAAATAGTACTTCTACTTTTTAAAAAAATATGTTCACAACTATCGTTAATTCAATACTTATTCTTCGTATCATTACTATCATACATTATTTACAATACTGCATGGACAGAATAATTTTAAGCTTATAAAAGAATATCTTCGAAACGGCTGTCCAGTGCTTCCAGGTTTTCCATGGTGATCTAGCTTCAATAGACTCATGATTTCAGCAATTGTAATTGTCTCTGTTATCTTTATTCACAAATCTTTGTATTATTATTATTATTATCATTATTATTATTGGTTAACCATCATTATTAATCTCCCCTATACATAATTCATTCACTTCGTATTTATCCCTCCTTATAACGTCTTACTCTTTTTTCACACAATATAGCCTTCCACTAAACATTTGACCGAATTGTAATTGCACTATTATTTCTCTCATCCTACCTGACCCATATTTATTCTGATCATGGATCTTAAATTTCACTTGACACATACACAGATTCAAGTTAACATTCTATATGAGTCATATTAACATTTTATTGTATTTTGTTTAACAATCTTAAATTCACATACTTTAAACGATATACTTTGCCCTTAACCTAGCCATTTTCCGGATCATTAATTTGGATAATAAATTTTTTTTTATTGGGATCATGAACCGACTGATGTTAGACCATCACAATTGAAAACCTGGAAGCACTGGACGGCCGTTTCGTCCTATTGTGGGACTCCTCAGCAGTGCGCATCCACGATCCCGCGAGCGGAATTCGAACCCAGGGCCTTCGGTCTCGCGCGCGAACGCTTAATCTACTGGACCACTGAGCCGGCATCCAATGGTGATAGTTTCTAATATCAACCAATCCACGAAATTGCGCGACCAACTTCCATTGTACTGAAGTAGACACCTGTCTCTACCCGACAAGGATTAGCTCCACTGGTCACGGCTTCTCACTAGAACTCCGAGAATTCCCTCACGAAGCTAGTCACTAGTGAGCACATGTTAATTACTAGTATAGGGGTTGTGGAGATTATTAGATTTTTGATTGATAATAAAATTGTAGGTCCTGAACAGAATTTATTAAAAAGAATGTTCTTCGTTCAAACAATTATCTTTAAATATGATGGGGGATCTTTAAACGACATTTACTACTATTGAAAATCTAACAAGTGGCTTATTTAAAACATTTCGCTATAAATTTGATGTACTGTGTATTATATGAAAGCTGATGAATGAGTTATTCATATGAATGGTTTATGTTGATTATAACTTTAATATGTATATCATCCATAATTGTTTCCATTAAAACAGATATTTTTCCGTCAATATTATCAAGTATTAGTCTATCCGATATTATTGTTAGAGAAGAATATGGTTGAAACTCTTAAGTAACCATACGAAAATCACCGACAGGCAGTTGGCAGTGGATAGCTGTTTTATTTAAATTTAGAACTTGCTTAGTATTGTACATTCAGGACTTCAGAATGAATTAACTTCAGAACTTTTTCTGCTTTTTTTTATTTGGCAAATAAAATATCGCCCCATTAAGATTTTAACTGCAGATTACTGAGAAAATTGGCACAACAATTATAAGACATCATCAATGGTGAGTATTTCACTTATGATACAGCTGTACTCTACTAATCATAAAACTCATGAACTTATCTGCACAGAAGTTACAAACATGTTCTTGATTAATATTTAGTTAGATCATTTCTAAAATGTAGTTACATTTAGAGTTCAATTTTATAGTTGGATTACATCAGCTGAAGAACCCTTAGGTTTTAAGTAACTTTAATACAAACTATTTATTTAGATGAGACAATGTAAATCTCTGATAAACTATTTATTTGTAAATCTTTTAATTTTTATTCATTTGAATTGATTTACAATCTACTTACTTCCTTCAGTATAGAAAATACAATGTTCATTATGAATAAGTGGACCACTTAATCCAATATCAACTCTTGATTCAGATTCCAATCGGCCAACTCTGCAAAATAAAAGATAAACTATGATGATATGAAATATTTTTTTTTAAAAAGTATGTGAACCGAAAGTACTGGTTTTGAATAATACACTAGTTACTATGAGTTTATGGTATTTGAATAAATTCAATGTAGAAAGGGATTTCGTGGATATTATTATAGTTTTTAGTAGCTAAGATCATGAGTCAATCGAAGCTAGATCACCATGAAGAACCTGGACGGCCGTTTTGTCCTAGTACAGAACTCCTCTAAAGTGCTCATTCACGATCTCACCTCGCGAGATTCCAACACAGGACATATCGGCCTCACACGCGAGCGCTTAACCACTAGACCACTGAGCTGACCGGCGTCCAACGGTGTCAATGTCCAACTTCAACCAATCCACGAAGTTGCGCCACCGTACACCAGTGTCTTCAGTGAGTTTATATTGTATAATTGACCAAGAAAACAAGCTGCATCATTCATAGCACTTATTTTCAATTTAGTTTAATAGATAAATACACTAAACAAATAGTTTATCTCCATTTATAAAACCTATTGAAATGATCAGAATAATGGATGTTAATTTTAAAACTTTTAAATGTAACATTTGATTCAGTATTTATTGTATTTTCTATAAGATGTAACTGGTTTATAAGAATATTTGCTGAATAACTATCGCAATTTTCCATTAAAGAACTTACATAGTTTTTCCTTCTTTAAGATAGTAAATAAGACATTCTGACATGGCTGGATCTTCATTCAGATTCACTAAATGTGGAGTCTTTGAAAAGAAAAAGGAATAGAAAGAAATAAAACAAAAAAAGAGAAGTGATGTTCGTAAATTTCGTGATTTAATTTATTAGATAAGTAAATTATAATGAAATGGATCAATATAGGAAGGTAATTTTTTGACTGTTTGAAATATACACCAACCAGTTTTGTTTTACTAATAAGGCTTTATATAAATGAAGTGCAATTCTTTTGTAGACGGATCATTTACGTTTAGTGCAGAACAGGTCACAATCTCTAAGACTAATTTATCATACTAACAATTAGATATTTCCTCTGGTCTGAAAACTGAGTTTCAAGGTAATTGACTTATTTTCTATGGAACTACAAAGGCAAATTATCATAAATGGGTTTAAAAAAGTGTAATTTTGGCTACATATTTCTATCCTTTTTTTAAATTACTATTATTATCCATTTATATTAAGTATGACAATTGATGACACAACTGCCACATGAATGGAACTGGAAACATTCCATACCATAGATTAAGTAGGTAAATTAAAAAGAAATAAGTGTTGTTGTAACTCCAAGACAAGTTTATGTGATAACATATTTTCATTGTGGGACGTATTTAATGTATTACATCCGAAATGGTCAATTTCACCACGTCAGACGATGTTAGATGATTTAACATACTTCCCAATAATAGACTTGTTTAGCTCTGGTTACTGAAGTCTAGTTGCTAAATGCTGATAGAAATCAATACTTATTGGTGTTTTTGGTGCTAAAAAATGCATTAAATAGTAATAGGATGATTAAATGACGATTTCCAAGACGGTTTCCATTGACCTCAAGTAAGAAACCATAAAAATCAAGAAGCATTGTACATCTCTTTTGTCCTACTTTCAGACATTTTACTGATACACACTCACAATTATGACAGGGCTTGGACCCAGGGTTTAGGTTCCTGCAGGAACCACTATATCTATAAACTATTGTATTAGGATCCAGTAGTCCAGATCTGTAAATTCAGTCAAATAAAAATCATACGAATTCATGAAAAAATTAATATTAATAAATGTCATTAGAATAAATGCTTAATTCACCAGAACAGTTTAAATATGCATACATTTTTTGGAGAAAATACACCTCTGACACCACCATCATGAATAGCTATTCCCATTTCCATTAATTCATTTTCTCTAAAAAACAAACAGCAAGAAAGAGGCGAAACCACCATGAAATGTATGCCAACTTGCTAGAATATAATAATTAAAGTTGTCATTGACTAGAATTAAGCTAAGTATGGTTTAAATGAAACAAATTTTTCATTGAAACTGAACCACGGTAACTAGTCATGAACAGATTACATACATCTCTATATCATAATGAATGTTAGATTAATATAAACACGTAATCTATATAATTCTAAACTACGATAAACGTATTCCCGATTTATGACATTAAAAAAAAATCTGTTGGAAATGCTGAAATCTCTGTCTGATTTAGTTAAACGTTTCGTCTATCAGTCAATATTTATAATTATATGAGCAAAATTACCCACACACAGACTTGTAAACATTCAAATCATTGAAAACCTATAAATTAAACTATTTGATAAATGGATAGTATTATTTTAATTTGTAGTAATTTGAGTATACATCCATTAAATTGACATTCATAAAGCATTCCGACAAATGGGTTTGTATAACATTATGCATATATCCGCCTTCACATTTATTCCACTTATTTACATAAACATTGATTGTTTAAACCACTTGTATTTACGTTTGACTGACTGATTCAACCACTGATCGTTTTGTTTTCATGGTTAATATTAATTTATTCTTTTTTGTCTCTTCGCTTCTACTGATTAGTCGTATCACCTAAGTTGTATAATATAACTTATTCTAATTCAGTCGTTGAATTCAGGAGTCAATTGAACCTAGACCACCATGGAAAGCCTGGAAGTACTGGATGGCCGTTTTGTGCTTGTATGGGAATTTTCAGCAGTGCGCACCCACGACCTCGCCTCATGAGATTCAAACCCAAAACATTCGGTCTCGTGCGCAAACTCTAATCCTGTAGACCACTGAACCGGCATATAAAGGTGTTGATGTCTAACTCCAACCAACCCGCCAAGTTGCTCCACCGTCCACCATTGTCTTCAAATGACTCATGAATTCAACTATTAAATTACTACAAAATTCCTGTCTGATTATTCTAATTACTCTGGTTTAGAACTCTAAAGGCTACATACTTTTGGGAATTATCTTAACAACGATGATATAGAGTATTTTTTTTTTCAAATGTAAAAATAACCGCGCATTACTGTTGTGATTAGTCAAAGAAACCATTTAATAATCTAATTTTTTAAAGGCTATAATATTGTATTTTTGAAAGAAGGAACATTCGTCTGTAAACCGTGTTAAGTTATGAATATAATTCATTCTATATTCAGGACTGTATTTGATCAGCGTGTTTTCAAATAGATACATCTTGAACGACTGTCTCTAATATTGGAGAGCAAATATCTACTTGATGAGTCAATTATAACAAGAAATCTGAGTCATAGATTACATTGATAATCATAATCCAACATATACATAACTAAATTTACGATTTAGACTATGACAAACTTTCCTTTTTGATAGAAACCGATTCGATAAAACTCTGAATATGAACCATGGGAAAATAAAAATCTTCTTTTTAATAATATAGTATCCATTATACAAGCTAGTGGTGGTCTACATTCAAGAGATTAATGATCGGCTCATTAATGTTCATAGCTATAGATACTGAGTTACAGTCTCATTATGGACGTTAGGATAGCAATATTTTAAGTATATTTTATTAAAATTTACTCATGATCACACCTTTGTTCTCTGAGTTTTTCAGCTTTTCTAAGTTTCATCTCCATTGTTTCATTTAATTCAGCAATTAACTTTTCAGAAGCTTTTAATGCTTCTAAAGTTGTTTCATCTTCATATATAAATGTTTCTGTAGAATGTTGATTTGTTATAGGTGAAGTTCCAATGGTAATAGCTGAAAAATAGTAAATACATTGAATGAATTATTTGAATAATTAAAGCATCGTTTCTGTTTATATTATTAATCTACATAAAACATGAGTGACTTGTAAAAATTGGTTAAAAAATAGTATCAGAATGGGTTTTTTGACTTCAGGAAAAACTCCCGAAGTTCTAGTGAGAAGCCGTTTCCAGTGGAGTTCAACTAGGTCTGTTGTGAGATAGGAACTCACTGAAGACAATGGTGTACATTGGCGCAACTTCGTGGATTGGTTGAAGTTAGACATTAACACCGTTGGATGCCGGCCACCTCAGTGGTCTAGTGGTTAAGTGCTCTCGCGCGAAGCCAGTAGGTCCTGGGTTCGAGCCCCGCGTGGTGCGGGATCGTGGATGCGCGCTGCTGAGGAGTCCCATGCTAGGACGAAACGGCCGTCCAGTGCTTCCAGGTTTTCAATGGTGGTCTAGCTTCAACTGACTCATGATTTCAATCTGTAAATAATAGTAGTCGAATAATGATACCTAAGTAATTTGGACGTAAATGAATAGTAGTCAAATCATAGAAGATATAAGATAATCTCACTATAGTTTAATAACTTTCATTGATGAAGTGATTTCTTCATAGATATGACAAACTGTATAAATATAAGTGTACGAATTGTTCCAAGATACCTTTCATGAGTTAATAAATCTTGACAGTATTTATAGTATATGGTATTCAACATCTGAAGTCATAGAGATAGAATAAGTCTTTAAAAACTTTAAGGCAAAAGTGTATTTTCAAAATTTAGGCTTTTGTAATTTTACACCTTTTTCACTAATGTGTCAAATGAGCTCAAAGTTTAAAATTAGTATTTATGACTTCGAAGTCGAGTAATCAGTTTTAAAAGCATTGAGAAGTAATCAGCTTGACAGTTATATATATTATCAAGCTAGTGAGTTACTACCGGTACAAAGGTCTAAGATAAGACATTTCAAATCCAATTATTTCATTTATAGATCACATAATCTAGATGATTGACCTTTTCACAGAATCAAGAATTCGACAATATAATGTTAATTTATCTCTAATAAGGCAGTGAATGTATCTTCTAGTGTTTCACTGATGTAAGAGTTAGATGCTAAAGCCTTAAACTTTGTTTTAATCTGAAGTACGATTTCACAATCACAAAAACTTCGATAAAAATTCTAAATAAAGTTTATAAGTTAACAATAGTTTATAGTATACTTTTGATAACACTGAATAAAATCTTACAGGTTTTCATTTGATCTTCCATCTTCAGAATTTGCTTTAAACGTGCTACTTCAGCTTTTAATTCTCTAATTAAAACTGCTGTTGGATCTTCATTGATAATTGCCTTGCATACAATACTTTTAGCACGGTCTGCATAACGTAGAGTTGATAAAGTTTCATCAAAATTTACATCCGCTGGTGATAAGGCTGCAATCATTGTTGTATGTGAATTTCCACCTATTGTTAAATGTAAAGGGAAAAGTACAAAGTAACAATAATTACAACAGTTGAGATCATGAGTTACTTGAAGCTAGACCACCATGGAAAACCTTTAAGCACCGGACAACCGTTTCGTCTTAGCGCGGGACTCCTCAGCGGTGCGCATCCACGATCCTGCTCCCGTTAGATTCGAACCCAGGACCTGTCAGTTTCACGCGCGAGAGCTTAATCATTAGACCACTGAGCCGGCCGACATCCAACGGTGTTAATGTCTAACTTCAACTAATCCACGAAATTGAGCGACACATCCACCATTGTCATCAGTGAGTTACTATCGCACAACGGACGTGGTTGAACTCTAATGGTAATGGCTTCTCACTAGAACTTCAGGAAATGCTAGGACGAAACAGCCCTCCGGTCCTTCCAAGTTTTCCATGATGGTCTAGCTTCAATTGACTCATGATCTCAACTGTTGAGATGACTACAATCTCCACAAAACCCCTTCTGATACTAATAATAATTACTTTGATAAATAAACATCTTTTATTTGATGAGCAGTTCTTTTGTTAATGGTTTTTATTACTGATAATCACAAAATGAGGATTTTATCAGTTTATTACTCCTTTCCAGAAACATTTTGTATTAGGCAAGAACATTTTAATCTGTTTGTCACTGTAATGAATTAACTCTTTGCATATTACACATTTTAAATGGTTAAATACAATTAATTATATCAAGGCATAATTTATTTATTTCTCTAATCATTTTCAACCAAAATACTGTATATATTTTACTTTCTATTCTGTAAAGGAGAGATGTTTTAATAGTATCTTATTATTTTATAGATCATATGTTTGTTCTTCTTCATCTAATGACTCAATCAAGTGTACATGTAAATTAAGTTTTTTTTAACGTTTATTTCCGTTATATAATATATATCACTTATAAATCCTATTAATGGTTACTGTCAGGTTATGGAGGTGGTTACTTCACGCTATACCTAATTCACACTGTGGTCCACCTAATCAGTGTGCCGAAAGAACCACCTTCGGTATCCCGTGATTTTCCTGCTTCGGTGTGAGCATCCAGGCAGTATCACACCTCACACCTAAATCAAGTGACTTGTGTGACCAATATGTATTTGGTGCCCTTTTTCTACTAATATTCATGTCAGAAGGGTTTTGTGAATATTATAATTTTAATGGTTGAAATCATGAATAAATCAAATCTAGAACACCATGAAAAACCTAGAAGCACTAGACGGCCGTTTTGTCCTAGTACAGAACTCCTCTGAAGTGCTCATTCACGATCTCACCTCGCGAGATTCCAACACAGGACATATTGGTCTCATACGCGAGCGCTTAACCACTAGACCACTGAACCGACCGGGGATTTGTGGATATTATAGTTATTTTAATAGTTGAGATCATGTGTGAAAAATCATCGAGTGCTTACGTGATTTAATAATTTTGGAAGCAATAAAAATTTATAATCTATTGAACAAAAGATAATGACTGTCTACTTAATAAAGACGAAGAAGAAGAAAGTAATAATTAGCGCTTATAGTTTGTAAAATTGGAACGAGTACTAAGACCACGGTAGAAGAATGGTTTGAATTCGACTCTTGTGTATACAGAGTTCGGGTTTCATTTTCATTGACCTTCACTTGAATAATTGTAACAATATTTGATCATTCTGTCAAGCTCCTCTATTTTACTATAGACTACTTCATGTAAAAAAACCTATAAATACGATTGTACAGCTTCAAAATATGTGGAGAAACCTTTCTGTTTTGAAACGTCCTAATTCGTTTTGAATGAACAGACATGAACGTTAGTCAATTTATGGACAAATATTTCACTCAGTAAACTGGCCTGAGCTTTTTCAGCAACCATTTAAATTTCAACCGCTGAAATTACTCTAAATTTCATTTTACATTTAAATAGTCAGATTGAATCACATTCATGATATTAACTATTGGTTGCTTCAATGAATCTGAATGTGTAAGCAATTTTGAGATAATATTAAACAGAGCATAATATATACTATTAATCTAAACAACTGTATTTCTTTATTTATAAGCAAACGTATTGCTACTGGGCTCAAAGCAATATGAATGCTTTTACGGTAAAAACATTAACATGTCTCTCTAGTAAACATTTCGGCGAAATAAATACAAACATACTACATGATTGTAACTTTACAATTTTGTCAAAATCACAAGTCTACAATTAAGAACAGTACATGTAATCATATCAATCAAGAGAAATATCATCTATGTAAAAAATGACTTTTATAAATTATTAGAATGGAGGTTTGTGGAAATTGTAATAATTTTGGTAGCTGAATTCAAGCAGTGAGCTTCAAGATGGATTTTCTAGAGTTCTAATGAAAAACGATGATCAGTGGAGCCCAATCCGTGTCAGGTAGAAACAGGTATCTACCTCAGACAATGGATAAATGATTGCGCAAGATGGTGACTCGACTGAGGCTAGACATTTACGAGTGAGCTAGAAGGTCCTGGGTTCGAATCTCACATTAGGGATCATGGATGCACACTGCTGAGGAGCCCCACAATAGGACGTAACGACCGTCCAGTGCTTCAAGGTTTTCAATGGTAGTTTAGTTTAGATTGACTCATGGGTTCAACCTTTTTAAATAACTAAATAAAAAGTAAGTAAATAAAATTTATATATAATATATTCGTTACTTTTATACTTACCAAGATTTTCTTTTAATAACCAAGTAAGTACAGAGTCACGATATGGTATAAAATCAGTCTTCTTTCTTCGTTTTGAGCTCTAAACCAGAAATTAAAAAAAGCACATAATTATGCCTTCATTTTTGTCTTATACACTTTATCAGACTAAAGAAATAAATCAACTTTATCTTTATTAAAACAACTGGACCATAAAAACATTTCATAATGAAGATATTTCTGGTTAATTAGTACTAACTAGAAGTGACTACATATTACAGAGTCCGTATTGATCAGCTTCTCGATAACAATTTTTACCTTTTCCATTTTACATTCTATTTTACTAGTTATTTCGAAATCTAATTACTATTACAAAAATTTTCAGTTTAGGTATTGTGGAGATTGTTAAGTTTTTGATTGAAATCATGAGTCGATTGAAGCTAGACCACCATGGAAAACTTGAAAGCACTGAACGGCCATTTCGTCCTAGTGTGAGACTTCTCAACAGTGTACATCCACAATCCAACATGCGTAATTTGAACCCAAAATCTTCGGCCTCGCGCGCGAACGCTTAACCTCTAGATCGTTGATCCGGCATCCAACGGTGTTAATGTCTAACTCCAACCATTGAAAATCGAAAATGTTAAATATCACATTAAACTGTCACTTAAAGTGTTAATAAAACTTCAGATGGTTTAAGTTCATTTCTTTTCCCAATTCAGATTTTGTTACAAAGGTACTTTAACGTTTTAACATGTTATTCATATCTGTTTTAAAAAATCATTAATGAAATGTAATGAACTATATTATTTACAGTTAAATTGACAAACCACATAATAGTAAAACGAACTACTTGATCTTGAAGCTAATATTAGCTCGTCATGCTATTGGGACATGAAAGTTAAGTGTAAAAACATCTACAACATTTTGATCCTGACTTATAATGTTTCATATGTAAAGGCGTTTCACTAATATGTTCCTTTCTTCTTGATAAATATCAGATAATGATTTTAAAAAAACCTTATGTTATTCAACATCTTTGAAAATATTGTTTACGATTTGACAACAGAATTATAGACTTCAGTCTTTAGTTTTGATTTTATCATTTATCACTACTCTATAAATCAAACTAGTTAGGGTAATGACTTTTATATTAGTAATATAATTTGGCTTGGAATCCATCATTTCAATTCATCAGTATGCTAATTTGTGAACATTTTCGGTTAGGGGCAATAGCTTGTATTTGATTTATCGGTTGAAATATAATTTACTTGTGTGTCTAAAGTTAATGATTAGAAAAATGGAAGTTCAAGTGAAATACGGTTAATTAAAAGTTCTTTATCTGATTAATACACTAAACAATATAGAAAATCTGAACAATACAGAGAGGGAATACAATCTAAAAACTAACCATATCAGCTAATCCAGCAATTACTTTTCCCAGTGTTGTAAGTGATTTATTTATATTTGCTCCTTCTTTTAAACGAATATCAGTTGCTCCTGTAGCATCTGATCTTTCACTTCCAGCCAAATCAACTAGACTTATTTTACTGACCTCAAATCAATAAAAGGATACGAAATACAGTTTTTTGTTAAAAAAATAAATAAAACAAGATTACAATCACTAAGTAAAGAATTACTTCTGAACGGACATGTTATCGCTTTACATAAATAATAACAGATGACTTGTAAACAAGTACTATTCTCTTATATAACGTAGTAGTTCATTGTATTCATTTACTCTTAGCTAAAATGAGTTGACGGCATACCATCAGCAACAGCCTTCTGTAGGAGGGGACAATTCAGCTTCCAACTGAAGAGAAAATTATAAAAAGACTTTGGAAGTGGATAGGACATACATTACGGAAATCATCAAACTGAATCATGAGGCAAGCCCCAACTTGGAATCCTGAAGGGAAGCGGAAAAGTGGAAAGCCAAAGAACACATTACGTCGGGAAATAGAAGCAGATATGAAAAGGATGAATAACAACTGGAAAGAGCTGGAAAGGATTGCCCAGGACAGGGTTGGATGGAGGATTCTGATTGGCTGCCTATGCTCCTCCACGAGAACTAATAGGCGTAAGTAAGTAAGTAAGTAAGCAAGTAATTAACATAAGGCCATGAACACTGATGTTATAAACCTGAACTTCATCAACACTAAATACTGTTTGTGATTTCGGTAACAGTTTGAACAAACATTTGAAAATTACACGTCTTTTCTTTTGACAAGCATGATGTCATTTCAGTAAGATGTATTTAAACCAAAAAACTAGAGTTTCCTAAATTATATGTAATCAAATGTGTAGCAATCATATCTTTTGGAATAATATACATACTTATTTACTTTTACCTAATAAATTCATGTAGTTTAAATCAGGAAGAAGCATTGGACACATACTGAGAAAAGCACCCAATCGCGTCACAAGGCAAACCCTCACTTGGAGTCCTAAAGACCAAGGAAGAAGAGGAAGATCAACGAACACATTACGCCGAGAAATCGAAACGGACATCAAGAGAATGAATAAGAATTGAATAGAACTAGAAAAGAGAGCCTAGGAAAGAATGGGTTGGAGAATGTTGTCGGCGACCTATGCTCTACTGGCAGTAACAGGCGTAAGTAAGTAAGTAAATCAGGCAGACAATTAAAATATTATAGACAGACAAAATTCTGAAGATTACGTAATGTTTTGTTTTTGTAATAAGAGATTTTAACAGAAACTATAGGAAATTTTTGATTTCGTATTATAAGAGTGTAATTATAAAAACTCATAATACGTTGTTAACTGATTATAAATAGTGGTCACCCGTTAGATGTTAGCAATTCAGGAATCGACATCTGAATAATGTATATTCTTTTCGATGCATATTGTAAGCAACCATAATGTCTCTGATTGGGTTCTTTTGTAACTTGTACAGTGAAATGTCGTAAACCTTTCACAAACGCACCTAAATAGGTTACATATCACTTCCTACTTCTTTTCAAAGTTGTATACTTATTAAAATCTTAACTCATTTTAATTCAGAAGCATATAAATATTCAAACTCACTTTTTCGCTTGTTGTACCATACGATAAATCTTCAATTTTTTGCGTTACAACTATTGTGAAGACAGCATGTGATCTACTACTTGTTTCATTCATATTAGTAGCAGCAACGGTCCTGTGCGGGAAAACAGAAATCAAAGTAGTTTAAATAAACAGTAGATTTGTTCCTAATCCTCAACAAAACACATAAAGGTTTGGATTTACTGACATCTAGCATAATTTTCTTGAATCTCTGGCAATGACCCTTTGAATGTAGCTAACCATTTATAAGGGGAGAGGTTAACCAAAAAATAATAAGAAATATTGATAACTATTCTAACTAAACATTTGAATCGGTTTCCCAAACTCTTCTTGTAATTTCAAACCAAATTTACACGATAACTTGGACACGAGAAAAGAGGCGCAAAATGTGGAAAGAAAGCTTTACTCAAAGGTTAGATTATATGCAGAAAATTGGGGGTATTTATAGAATTTCAGATGGCCTTAAGTTTCCGGAAGTTTCTGGAACCCTATTAATATAGTAGCTGGATAGGTAATCATTCAGTCAGAAGTGTGATACATAACTCTCCACTATCTAAAAGCATTTGAGAAATTTCTACGCTATGCTGATTATATAAGATGTTTCTCAGCGTTTTCAGAGCCCCTTTGGGTTTTTTTCGAGAAATACTATGGATCACCCCCAACAAATATATTAGAGAAGTATTATTAGAATTCTACTAAACTACAACGTTTTCTTACTTGGTTACTCTCTTAACCATTGATTTTGAGCACAATTATCTTTAATTCTTAGCGATATAACCTGATAACTGAAAGCTACATGTAATAATTACCCTAATACTGAAATGGATTGAACAGAAAAAAACCTCAAAAATTCATATAGAAAATAGTCACTGATTACCAGATGGTCAATAATAAAATGATATTTTAATTTAAAACTAGATTTAACTGGAACCAGATTAAATTTAACTGCTTGTGATGTCATGAATGCACACTACTGAAGAGTCCTATATTAGGAAAAAACGGCCGTTTAGTGCTTTTAAGTTTTCAATGGTGGTCTAACTTAGATCGGCTCATTATTTCAAGGAAACATTAGCCCACATTTTAGTCACAGACACTGATTTGATTGTTGTCAAGTTTTTCTACACTCGTGTCTTCTATCCGTGTTACATTTTATTAACTGATTATTACCGAAGTGTTGTGTGACACTTATCGTTCTATCAAACCCGTAATAGAACCCATTAGCATTAGGATATGCTCAACGTTCCCGTAATTACCGCTTACTGTAGGCGCATACAGAATCTTAATCGGAAGATACAATAGTGGTATAGATATCGGGTTCAGCGTTAGACCTAATTGTCCAGGATTTCATATCTTACCAAATCCGGAACTAAGACAAAACGTCTGTAAATCAACCTCTGATTTTCATTGTTTTTCAATGCATATATAAATCATTAAGGATACAATTCAAATTTGATCAAATTCTCACACTCTCATCTTAATTTTAAATGATTATTATGATTAAACTATGAAGAAAACTAACATCTTAAGACCAGATGATTGTAACCAATGTTATTGATTTAACTTTATAGAGAAGAATTTGGTGAGACTATAATTTATGGACGATCTTTGAGCGACACCAGACTAACTTTGAGAGTATCCACCTAATAACCAGGACCAAATAAGGGTTATAAACCTGTGCGAGGAATTAGAATTATACTTCACAGTTGATAATTAAGGTTAGAAATTAGATTTACGGTTTTCATAACCAACTGACATAAGCTATGATGTATCTATTTATTCTCATTCACAATTCATGTTTCCAATGTGTTTTGTTAATAATGAACTTTAAAACATACAATTTTGACTTCATGAAATATGATTGGTGTTTCTAATGCTAGAAATTCTTATGGAGACTATAGAGACACTTATATATATTCATTATATAGAAAATATGTGTATTGTTATGGTTACTTAGTTTTATATTCTATTTAGTTATTTTCATTTAAAATTAGGTAATTCATGGGTTTTTTTATAAACTATAGTCTTTTTAACATGACTTATAAATCTAGTGTGTGTTTACTTTTATTTCCAAGGAATTGAGATATAGAAAAATTGTATATGCTTCCTTTAATTATTTACGGCAGTAAACCGTTAGTATTTGACTTCTGACGTAATAGTGTACTGAACAAGAACACGAGTAAGAGCAATCGAATGTGTTTGACACGAAATTACAGAGCATCTCAATAAAATCTGAAAACCATATAGTAAATAGTTAATTTACAAAATATCAATCCATCGTCTCAAACTTGACCGTTCCTTTTGCAGACGTCAGTTCATTGTCTCAAATTTCATTGTTCATGTATTTTCATATCAATTGCGTTCCGTTCCCTTTCTTTCATCGATCTTCTACTGAAATATATTCTATGCCTGACCACCGTTATATACTACTTATGTGGATATAAGTAACCCATACCACAATAGCACATATTGATTTTTCACTTCTTACATTTATATCAATGATTTCAGACTAAACTTAAAATGTATGTAATGGTACTGTGAAGTTTAATGTTTTCCTTCATTTAGAAGGCAATATCATTAGCTAAGAATGAAATCGATTAATCGAGGAGAATATTTTAAATCCCCTGTGGTACTTCACTACTTAACTATATAAAAATGCTTTTATAATAGAAGCTATATATATATATACCGAGAGAGAATAAGACTTCAAATTGCCGACTTCATTTTGTTAAGATTTCTTCGTCATTATTATTAATGACTATCGAAATTACTGATCGATTTGACCTGAAATTATTTCGTTTATTACTAATGATTTTTAAACATGGATTTTTCATGTTCAACAAATGCATAAAAGTATTTAATATTGAAATGATGTTATAAGTTAAAATTGTGAGAGTTGGGTTTCCAGTACTTCACTGTTTGATGTCACAAAATGACTTTTCAGACAGTTACTTTCCTCGATGTACTTCTATTTTAACCAAATAAACACAATAATGGGAAGATACAAGTAAAACAACATCAAGTGAATTTAAACTTCACCCTATCGCACAAGCAAGTGGCTATCAGGACTCAGTAGCTAAGTGGATAACGCGATAGCGTTTGAAGCGAAGGGTACTGGGTTCGAGACCTGAAGTGAACATCATCTCTAAGATGCAGGTACATTCAGCTGACGAGTCCCAAATAGAATGAAACGCGCGTCCTGGATTCCACTGCTATCCACTATCCATCTTTGCTTAAAAAGCTTGTGACTTAAGGCTATATCGAGGTATCCGCACAGGATGCGCATAATTCAACATGAGACTAATCAATTGTAGTCGTAATTAACTATGGGAAGATACAAGTAAAACAACACCAAGTGAATTCAAATAAACATTATTCATATATCAACGTAAAGTCATCTGTTTGTTAGCTCTTTTACATGTTGTATATTTCAACAAAGGCGAATTCACTTCGTCTTCACGATGTTTGTTTGTTCTTAATTAACAAAACTGTAGATTTTATTGTCGACATTATGAACTAGTTAAATAGCCAGTGTTTTCACGACTGTCAGATGATGTGGAAAACGAGCAATCAGTGTTAAATTAACTGTCTGATGCGAAATTTTATTTAATTGTACAGTTATCTAGCCACACATACAAACGTTTTATACCAGAGCAGATAAGAACTTTTGTTATTTATTATTCTTACTTTATTCTAACTTAGGTCACAGATAAGAAGTATCTGATATTTGTCTTGGTTCAGAAATGTAAAAAAACTTCTATAATATATTATTGTAAGACATAATATTTAGTTACAAACCTTGCTTTATTACCCACATCAATCAATTCATTAATTTCATCAAATGAGATAACAGCACATTTTGATAAATCTTCAACATATGGTCCAAGAATAGGATGCTCTCTTACACGTAAATTTCCTTTACTTTTTGGATCCAGTAAATCTCTTACACGTTCACAATAAATTTCCATATATGATACCTGAAATTTTAGATGTAATAAGAGATAAAGATAATACTCGGTGATAATCAATTTAAATCATTAAACAACTTTAATAAGTCAAGATAATATAAGAACTGTGCTCAATCATACATACATGCATATGTACTTGATATATTTTCATCCCAATAAATATGCTCTTTTCTTGACAAGATTTTAACAATTAACAAAATTTGGCAAAGTTACTTTTCTGTGGTTTCTATTGAAAAGTAATCAAATAATGAGACTGGGTTGTTTTGTTATCTTGTTTGTTTTTTTCTTCTTATCAAAATTAGAATTTCTATTCGATGAAATTGGGTTTCACATTCATTAAGATAATTCATATACATAACAACAAATATATACAATTGTATTTGTGACAGGAAATCTAGTTCTTCAGTCCCAAAGAAAAACCTATATATATATATATATATATATATATATATATATATATATATATATATATATATATATATATGTCTAGAATTTAAAGGTGATCGAACATCGGACGTAATCGGAAATTGTCTAACAGCGGCGATTAAAAGAACATTTAATGTGGCTAAACTGTGAATAACCATCACTAGTAGAAACGTATTTTCTGTATCCATAAAAGATAAGCTTTCGTGTCTGGTCGCCTCCATGTGCATCTACCAGTTCACCTGCTCTTATGGAGCAAGGTCCATTAGCCGCAGCCAGTGTTCGCTTTCAACTCGGATACGGGAACAGAGTGGGTCGGAGAATGTTGGTCGGCGACCTATGCTCTACTGGGAGTGACAGGCGTAAGTAAGTAAGTTCATTTTGATGTCGCGTGATGTTATCGACGGGCCCATCACTTTATTGGCCTGAACTCTGACTTCAATTGAATCGCACGTCACATGTTATTGAAATACACAAGTCGCCAATCCTCGTACATAACTGTCGACTTAGTCCGCATTAGTGAATAACGGAATTAAATAACTCAAATACGAGAATGGATTTTTGAGCGTTTTTATTTTGTACACTCATTGATTTGAACAGACAATCAAAGGGACGAAGAGAAGAGTGCGAAGTAGAATGACGTAGAGTGGAGAAGTCTTATGAGCCAACTCCATTTAACCAAGCGTTAATCAATATTTATAGTCACACAAAAATAAGTTACAGACATGTGATGAATAGGATAAGAAGTGCACACTCATACACTCAGATATAAACAGTTAAGGTTGATAAGTGAATAATTAACAAGGTCAAAATGGGGGGGCTCAAGAAAAATGAATAATTAGTCTGTCTGGAAACTAGAATAAGCTACGTGGGCTTAACATAGTAACCGACACTACAAACTCAATGAATAACAAAATTTACTAACCTTAATACAAATGCTCATTTAATAGAATGTTGTGTTTATTAACTAGAGGATACTAGTTTAAGATTCAATTTTATAAAATAAATAAAATGTCACAACCAACTCAATTAACAAAGTGTTCTTCATTGTATCTATGATATACTGAAACTGAACTATTTCAGATGTGAATAAATTTTACAAAACCAATAAGATTTATACAAATAAAAGTATTCTATTTCAATTATATCAATGAATGAGCTTCATATTCATATGGATATGTTACCAATACAAGAATTAAAGATGTTTAATATAAATGATGACAAAAATCATTTTCAGCTATTACCACTTAACTACTAATTGAACTAAACCGGAAGTTAAATTCAACATCATTGAATAAAAAACAAAAAAACAATTACAAATTACAATTCTTTTACAGTAACTATTTGTAATTTATTTGGCTTCGATTATTATTATTATTATTATTATTATTATTATTATTATTATATTGATGAGCTATCAATCTTAAGGTTTATTGGATGCTAGAGTACAGTATTATAAATTGATTAATTTAAAAGCCTAACACTACTCTTGTTTCCAAATTTTGTAATTAACCGAATTTTACTAAACCAATATCCAAGATTTCCGCTTATGCTAAACTTACATACTTACTTACTCATAGGCAGCCCACCAACACTCTCCATCCAACCCTGTCCTGGGAAATCCTTTCCAGCTCTTTCCAGTTGTTATTCATCCTTTTCATATCTGCTTCTACTTCCCGACGTAATGTGTTCTTCGGCTTTCCCCTTTTTCGCTTCCCTTCAGGATTCCAAGTAAGGGTTTGCCTCGCGATACAGCGTCTATTCCTAATTTCCTCCTGATACGGAAGCTGATTTGTTCTCTCCTACAGTAGGCGGTTGCTGACGGTATCCGACCAATGGACATTGAGTATCTTGCGTAGACAGCTATTTATAAATACTTCTACCTTCTTGATGATATTTGTAGTAGTTCTCCAAGTCTCAGCTCCGTATAGTAGAACTGTCTTGACGTTCGTATTGAAGATGCTCACTTTGATATAGGTTGACAATTGTTTCGAGTTCCATATGTTCTTCAATTGTAGGAATTCGGCCCTCGCTTTGCCAACCCTCGCCTTTACGTCTGCATCTGATCCTCCTTCTTCATCGATGATGCCTCCCAGGTATGTGAAGGATTCTACATCTTCCAGAGTTTTGCCATCAAGTATGAGTAGATTGGTGTTCTCCGTGTTGTATTTGAGGACCTTGGTTTTCCCTTTGTGTATGTTGAGGCCTACTGATGCAGAGGCTGTTACTACACTGGCTGTCTTTATATGAATTTGTTCGTGTGTATGAGATAGGACGGCCAGGTCATCTGCAAAGTCCAAATCGTCTAATTGGTTCTGAGCTGTCCATTATATGACATGTTCCATCTGTGATGTCGAGGTCTTCATAATCCAGTCTATCACCAGAAGAAAGAGGAAGGGGGAGAGTAGACAGTCTTGTCTGACTCCAGTCCCTCTTGGAATGTATCTGTCAGCTGTTCTTCATGCATGACTTTGCACTGTAGTCCGTTGTATGTGTTCCGGGTAATGTTGACAATATTCTCAGGAACTCTATAGTGTCGAAGAAGTTTCCATAATGCTCTCCTATTTACACTGTCGAACGCCTTATCCTTATTCTAACCAGTTCGGAAATATTGTTATTTGTAGAGGTAAGGAATTTTAGGAAAAAGTTATTAGTTTATATAACAGTAATTATGAAAAATATACCAAATGTTTACTTCAACCATATGTTGTATGATTTGACCAGAAGTTGTTCTGTTCAATTTTTTGAAAAGATCACGGCATAATTGTGGTATAATACCCTCTTGACCTTCAACACCTGGTTTACCCATCATAGTATAAGATTTTCCTGATCCTGTTTGACCATAAGCGAATATGCACACATTATATCCTTCAAGGGCATGGTTAAGAGCATCGTTACCAATATCATTGTAAACTTGTTTTTGATCTGCGTATAATGGATCCGATTTCTACAAGAGAATAATATATTCTTTGAATATATGCCTGTAAATAGTCAAGGGACAGCTTCCCAAATAACTAGATACATTTATTTGGAAAAAGATTGAATTTCATCACAATCGAGTTACTAAACGTTCTGCTTGATTGTTGATTTTTCACCCTGTACTTCTAAGTAAATCAAACTGTCAAAGCCTACCATCAATGTCAATCAGAATCTATTATACGACTAAAAATGTTGAATTACTTATGTGTTATTCAGACTGGTGAGATAGTCTTCAGTACTGATTAAAACATTTAATAAGGTTTCATGAGCTGTTTTACATAATTGTGCGGTTAAAAAATGTATTCTGAACAGGATTAAACGTTGTCATGATTTGTGTGATTTGGTTTATTACCTTTTTGGTTTCATCATATTAATTAAATATCGCTCTTGTGACTAATTTTTTAACGAAGTGTATTATCAGTTTTTTACATGATATTAACATTAAATTTTGTGCAGATCTATTCTAAGAAAGAAAATCACTGAACCAGAACAATGTCAACTAGTTATGTTTTGTTTTAATAGCTAGTTTTGTTTAATAGTTAAGATCATGAGTCAATTGAAGCTAGACGACCATGGAAAACCTGAGAGCACTGGACGGTCATTTCGTCCTATTGTGGGACTCCTCAACAGTGCCTATAGACCTTTTTCAATACAGAAGGATGTAAATGATGTATAGAATGTCAAATTATTTGATCTGTCTGAAAGTTCTGAAGGATAATAAACACGCATTGTGATTTATTCACTATCTGAGGTTCACATTAAAACGATAGGCATTTAATCAAAAGTTTATTATGAAGTTTCACAACGAACATTTACTAACTACTGTGTTTTGTTTTATTAAAATAATGATGAATGTATTTCCCAGTTACTATGCTACATATCCTAATTTCGCAAATGCACCCTTTAATGGGTTTTGTTTGAATTTTTATAGTTCAACAGTATCAAAAGTTATTATTTTTCGATGTGCTTATTTATTTTTCTTTAAAAATAATAGGAATATCATTAAATAGAAAAGCATCGACAATTTGAACAATCCAAAAAATAAGAACATCTTGCTACAGTATCGGTTTAGGAATATTCGGTTTCTTTTTTCAAATTCTCCACAACAGTACCTTTTAATCTCCACGTATGATGTAGAAATTCTTATTAGGTTTTATAATATTATTGAATATTTTTTCAAGGAATATTACTGTAAGATGTATCATCGTTTTGTTAAGGCTATTAACTGTACATATGAACAATGTAATTTAAAAATAAAACATACCCGTTCAGTTCGTGGAAAACATAATAACCTAAATTGAAGCTAGCCGTAAAAAGTAATGCGGTAGTGGCCGCTAGTTACAAAATTGTTTGTAAGTTGCGGAGCGAAACATGGCATAGATTTAGCAACAATCATTAAATGGAGTGAAGAGTTTCAGTAAATCAAAAGCATGGCGTTGATATAACACTTGGAGACCAGATGAGAAGATGGTTCAGACTACAGAACACACTGAAAGTTACAAATGGGAGATTGAAGGCTGTATATATGTATTATGTGAATACTTAGTAAATCACAATAAACGCAGATTGCTCCTTTGTATTGTCGAGGTTTACAATACCAGTTCTTGGTTTGTACGATTTTGGAAACCAACCAATCATTAATCCGAATTGTCGTGAGACCTGAAGGTCCTGCAAATGATTCATAATGTCATGGTTAGTGTGTACTACTGAAAAGTCCCATACTAAAATGAAGAAGTCATCTGGTAATTCTCGGTTTTTAATTGTTGTTTTTATCCACGGTCATCCCTCGGCATACACTATAAGATCCAACTATTTCCTTTGAACTAATGAAAAAGAATAGAACCCTTCCATAACATAATACAGACACATTCATAACGCTCTAGATTAGATCGATATTTATATATTTGAGACAGTCTTTACTTCTCATTAGCTTTTTTCAGTAATTACATGTTAGATATATCATAGACACATAATGAAAGAGTTTCCATCTTTCTATGTGTACTAGTCTAGTTTGAGGTGGGGATAATAAGTAAAATATGACTGTAGGAAGCTTAAAATATATTTTATTACACATAAATTGAACACTGACTACAACAGAACAGATATTTAAAAGAAAACGCATTGCACGACACCTATATCTACCACATTAAGTTTGTTTGTCCTGAATATCATTAAAGTACTACACTCTATACAAAAAAATATAATTCTTAATTAAGGGTTGAATTATTCGTAGTACACTCACATCTGTATGTGACCAGTAACTGTAGTCGAATTCAAATACTTTAGAAGGTTCTTTAGAGTTTGGTTTTCTAATACCTAAAACAAGAAAGTAAAGGTAAATTAACTCCAGACATTGAAACGATGAATGAATACCAAAAGACAACTAGTCATGAAATATAGTTTGGTAATGGAAACCATTATACAAGATATATGAATTTAATATTGCAGAAAAAAACACTTATATGGAAAGGGGAACTAAGAATATAGTATAATATGAATGATCCCTAGATCAAAGTTACTAAAAACCCACTCCTAACTAGTTATTACTTTTAGACAGAAGATCATAGCTATCACTATCGAATTATAACAATATAAAAAGGAACAGTGATGACAGTTTTAGTGTTAAATTCCTAATAAATTACTACACCTTTGTCTAATGTTGACAAAGAAGTTTGATAGAATTCAATCGACTATAAAATTTTCCCGGAGAATAATAATAAAGAGAATTTAATGAAGCGAATATTCATCTCAACAAAATCATTTACTTAACCTATACATTTATATTTACAGACTTGAATACTTATAAAACAACTATAAATATGAACGCTCGCCAGTGCTTCCAGGTGTTCCATGGTGGTCTAGCTTCATTTGTTTCGTGAATTCAACTATTAAATTACTATAATATCCAAAAAACCCCTCTCTGGTTATTTTTAATTCACCGACATTGTGGGTTACTTTTATATCTGTTAGATGACAAATTAAGTTTTCTTTTTAAATAGTAGTTTATTAGAAAAAAGCATTTCATTTTAATTATTATAAAGATACTTTCAGTTTGACTTATCGAATAGATAAATTATTACTGACAGTGAATTTAAAATACATGTTTTATCTCTATCAATTTTAGTTGTGATGTTCACACTGGAACTCAAAGCCAGTCCTTTCTTCTTCAATGCCGAATTTATTACATACTTAACTACTGGGTTCAAATAGCTAGCTACTTATGTGTCAAACATAATATTCATATCATTATTAGAAATTGACGAATTATCCCGATGCTACTATTTCTGGCTGGATTTTGACTGATCTTTGTTCCCATATGTGCACCCTCATAGGCATCACCTCGACGTAGCCGTTGGATACCGGCTCAGTGGTTTAGTGGTTAAGTGCTCGAGCGCGAGACTAGTAGGTCCTGGGTTCGAATCCCGTGGGGTGCGGGATCGTGGATGCGCACTGCTGAGGAGTCCCAAACTAGGACGAAACGGCAGTCCAGTGCTTCCAGGTTTTCCATGGTGGTCTAGCTTCAATTGACTCATGATTTCAACCTGTGAAATTTGACATAAGATTAATGACAAAATTAATATGTCGAGGTAATTCACACACACAAATACTGATCAAATTGCACTCAGAAAAATCAAAAATAGGATCATTAGAACAATTTATCATGTGTCGTAAATACTCTGCAATGTTGATGATTATGTTAAGCCCATATACCTTATTCTAGCTTTCGGACAGACCGATCTATTCATTCTACTTGAGTCACATTTTGACCATGTCAATTGCTCGCTTATTAATCTTGACTGTTTTTATGTAAGCATATGTGTGTACACTTCTTATCCTAGTCACCACATGTCTGTAATTTATTTTTGTGTGACTATAAATATTGATTAACGCTTGGTTAAATGGAGTCGGTTCACATGCATTCTCCACTGCGCGTCGTTTCGTTACGTCTCTCTGATTATCTGTTCCGATCAACAATTATACAAAATATATGTTTTGGAAAATCCATTCTGGTATTTATTCAATTCCGTTATTCACTAGGGCGATCCAAGTCGATAATTATATACGAGGATTGATGATATGTATATCTCAATAGCAAACAGAAACGATCTTATTAGAGTCATATCCAGGGCCACTAAAACTCTCAGTTTGTTGGTTTAATTATTTTGTCTTCATTTTTCAACTCATTATATGATCAAAACACATAGCATTTCTAGGAATCATTATTAACTTGTTTTGTTGTAATATATGGTAATTCCAAAGCGAAATTTATTTGACTAGTGTTATGAATACTTTGATGCAATGCATTTGAAATACTTGGAACGTACAAACTGGCTATTAATTGTTATGTGTGTATATATATAACGAAGTCAAATAAGGAAACTAAAGCATAAATTTAGATCATAGTAAGGAAAGATACATTGATAAGGTAAGTTTGATATAATGACAAACTATTTCTGAGCAAACTGATAGTTCTCACTTCTTCAGATACCATAAGATTTTAAAACTAGGTATTTATGAGCAATAAAAATATCAATCAAGGATCCGCTCAAATGTTTATTTTTATATTTGGCTTTGTCTGTCTATCTACCTGAAACGTTTATACATATTAGTCTATGGTTTCACTGAGTTAGTACTTTCATTTCAGTATTATAAATTGTTAATATAAAAATCAATTAGGTTGAGAGATTTATGATCACGAGCTAACTACACAACCATTAAACTTAAAAGCAAGTTTAAACTATTACTTTCATGTACTCGAATCAATAATACATACCCAGAACCAACTATAAGAGGACTTTCAGGTCAAATGATTAGAAAGTTACGTTTAGACCACTGAATTGGCATACAGTAATCTACATCTCAATCTCAGTTACTAGGGCATATTTAATGGGCGTCACCCATTGCCATCAGTAATGATTGATTCATTCTTGATATTCATGTTCAGCTAAAATCAGTGTATGATAATACACATATGGCAACAAAGATTGATGAAATTTTTTTATCGTAAATAACAATAATAGGGCAACTCAAAACTACATCATTAATGATATTCAGGTTTAGATCCATTTGTTAGAAAGTTTGTATATTATTTTTCAGTCGTTTTAAAAGTAACTAAATGAAGATCCAAATCACTGAAACTAAGGGATTCCATAACCTTTAAACCAATGTATTCTATCCACCAATTATTAAATATTGAAAACTGTAACCTGATTGTTTATGCAAACAGCTGATATATGGTAAATATAAAGAAACTGTGATATCACTCCTGATATAAATTCTTTTTAGTAATTAAACTGATAAATCTTCTTAAATTCTGAATATAACATTTCTGTCATATAATGATCACACTTACTTGTAGATTGGCCCGACATCGATATGACACATTCACTGTTCATTAGAATCTCTCTCCTATTAAATGGTCTTACACGGACAGCAACTTTGACGGAAGACATTGTATTTTTTTGTTATGGAGGTTCTTTATTATGGAAAAAAACAGTAAAATAAAAATGGTGTGGTTCAAAGACAATAAGAAATGTTAAAGTGTAAGGTATAAGGAATAAATCTAGGAACATTCCATGTCATTTGTTTGTTACAAAATATCTGCATAGGGATATGGGCTTCATTTAAAGTTTTACTGCTTAATGCTTAAAGATAATGTCGGTCAACAAGTTAAACCAGTAAAAAATAAAAACAATTCATTCTAGTTTGAAACATGCCAGTGTAACATACTACCATATGCAAGATCAAACTCACAAACCTCCGATCTCTCAATAATTCAAGCAATATTGAGGCGGAATTCAATAGGTTATGTCTGTAACTGTATTGTAATTTTAATAACTAGTTAAGTGAAATTTACGTAAAACATTGAAACAGAAACGTCGTCAGGTAGAGGATTATTTAGATCTAATAATCTATCAACAGAATCGAATGTATCTTGCTTAGCACTATAATGCTACTCAATTTAAGGATAAAAGTCTAGATCTAATGTTAAATATGTTACAGTAGAGTAAATATATGTCCAAATTTTTCAAATTAGAAACTGACTGGGAAACGAAAATAGCTCTCGGTGTAAAATTTAATTCAAAAGATGTTGATAACAATTTGACGGCTTGCAGATATTATTCAACGTTTGTGAACTCTAAAATGACCAGCTGTTCTATAAACCATCATTAAAATATAAATGTATATTAGCTTGATTACTTTTAGTGAATCCTTGTCTACCTTGTCTACGATAAAAAAAATGTATTAGGTAATATTAATTACAACTCATGTGGCTCTTCTAGGGATACTACCAGTCCCAAGCCCGGGTAAAGGAGAAGAGTGGGGCATGGGGTCGGCATCTCCATCCCGTAAAACACAACCTAAGTAAAAACGCTAATAATGTTTAGTACAAGTTAATCGTATATTTACAGACCTAGATTACATTCCAAAGAGCAGTTACAACAAAGGCTAAGGTTGTAAATCTAATCAACTAATGAGACAATCAATTAGATAACCCCATGCTTAAATATATCACAAACTATCTACACTCAAAAGCGCTATGTGACAAATTTTGAATTATTGTTTCTGTTGCATTGTAGTCATTATGAGACTTGAACGTTTTGAATTTGACTTATTATAGAGAAACGAGTAATAATCTATTGAATATCAAACCTGAAACAAAATATTTATTTAGAGTTTCCTTGCCTTCACTGATTCCTGTCAGATTACTTAGAAATGTATCAGTAATTGATACTGTAATCCTTGGGTCGAAAAATATTGTTTTGAAGATAATCAAATGCACTATTTTGTTTTAGGTATTATTGTTTAATCGATTTCTTTGTCGGTAAGATTCAACCGAAAAACAGTAAGTGATGTTTGTATATAATGTAACTTAAGCTAAGGTAATTCATTCAACATTCTGAAGTTTCGTTGCCAATTTTGTACATTAAAAAAAATTAGTCTCTTAGCTAAGTAAAAACTTCATATCTTAAATAATCACTTCGAATTACATAGAAATAATAGCAGGACTATAATTATACACGAACTAACCACATTTAAAATAGACGATCTTGGATTTTGGCTCGAAATTCATCCATTCATTTGATTAAAAACCGTTTTGGTATTATGGCTGATATTAGTTCGTTATGAAAACATTAAATCTAATTCCTAACTTTAACGTCCAACTGTAAATCTTAATTCTAGTTCCTCAAACTAATATATAACCCTAGTAAGTAGGTATACATTTCAAGGTGATTTTAGCGTTACTCAGAGATCGTCCATAAATCATAGTCCCATCCAAATAATTTATAGTTCTAATCACCATCTTGAGTTCAGCCAATTTTATGATTCAATTATATCTCAACATCGCAGTAAATTCACCACATATTAGTCTCAGTAATTTAAATGAATGCTTACTATTTTTCAATAGAACGAATATATTAGATTTATATTATATGTCGGCTATTCGGATTGATTAAAGGTATGTTCCTAGTGTTTTAAGAATGACAATTATTAGCCAGAAATAATCCTTTAGATTTCTTTTTTAGCTGTTTTTCCCATTAGGAATTTTAAGTTTTTCCTCATTCCTAAAATTTGCTGGTTGTTCTATTATTGATACCCCTAAAAGAAATTTATTTAATTTAGATGAGTTGTTCAGTTTTTCATTATGAACCTGACTTAGACGGGAAATCATTAAGAACACAAAAATATTAAATGAGCGTTTCCTGGCGTTTGGGAATTCCTCATGATGTTTGAATATGAGTTGAGTTTCACCCCGGAATGTTCATTTTTTTAATGTAAATTACAATATCTCCATTCTCAACTTTAAGCGTAGAATCATTAGTTGTAGTATATAATTATTAAATAACAAATCATCTGAAATAGACTTTCAGTCCACGTTAATGATACTCAATAAATCAAAGCTAACTCCTTTTTAGGAAGGCACAATAAACTTATGCCGTTTATTAAAAGTGTTCATTTGTACATTTTAATGCCTTCCAGTATGGAACAAATAACTTGCCGATGTATGATTAAAGTTTTACTAGTTTTTCGACTAATGTTAAGTCCTAATATGAATATGCTGCATTGATAGTCGTTAGAAAGTTATAATTAAAATTTTATTACACGAGAAATGTGCTTGTTTTCCTCAATGCGTTGATGAATATCATCATTACAATATGTGGTATCAAGTCGAATATTACTCAGCTTTCGTATTATAATAAATATTGAAATATAACCAGTATTGAGGAATTTGGAACTTTTGAAACTATCTTACAGAGAATTATCATTTATACTTTTATCATATAATTCTTAGATAATCTGATTGTTGTATTTCTCTATTGAATGCATTGTAAGCTGCCTCTAGATTTATCGACTATTGTTATATACCTTATTGTTCTTTAATTAGTGCTATTTAAATGCTCACCTTGTCCTCCATTCTTTGGCACTTTTGGTTGGATGTATGTAAGCACGATTCTAATTTGCCTGCGTTGTAGTCTGACAATTTAAGCATATAAACCCATAAGTGAATGGAGTAACAACGTATATAGAAACTTATCTTCTGCTTCCTCGCTCATCAAGCTAAAGAGTAGCTAGCAGAAGGGTGTACATTCTGAGAGCTAAGATTATTTTACCAATGCTCAGGGTTCATCATGTCAGTCAGTGTATATCATTCGTCAAATGACGTAGTTAGTTTGTGGACGGCATAGTATAGTAGTACTTAAAAAGTATTAGTCCTGACTTTGATTTATGTATTTCACATGATGTCGATTAAGGAATTGTCAGCTAACCAATATCATACCAATAGTTTTATTTATGCACAACATAACCTTGAGCTCTACCTTTTTGTTTTTCTTTTCCCTTTATTGAAACTGTGTTCTTAGACGAAAAATTATTTACTATCCTGAAAGTCTTTTTTATATAAAATGTAACATTCATTGAAATACTCCATCAATAATTGATATGTCAACAATCACTTTTTTAAAAGGAGATTTGTTTATAGATGTACATCAACCCTTCTCGTGAGTATTGATTATAAATTAATTGATGACTGATGTATGTATTAAAATCGCTAGTTTATTATCAAGCAGTATAATCATATATATACATCCGTGAGAACATAATGCGTATATCTATATCGATTAATATTAGTTGGATACGCTACTCGGAAATACAGACTTACAGACATCGTACACATTTCCTACCTTATATGTACATTGATAGATTTTTACACATAACTCATAGCTTATACATAAGAAAACATCAATTAAAAATATCAGTTCAAAAAACGTTTTTTCACGATCCTATTGATGAAATTTGAAAACAGGAAGCATTGCGAATTCCCACAACTTGAGTCAGTGAAAACGTAAACTTGCCTTCTATATTCTGACTTACTAAAAATGAAGAACAAAAGACTGAGTGGTAGAAAATAAAACTTTATGAAATATTTTTGAATCCCAAATTTCTTTGATATTTAATTCCACAAAACGATTCAGAGCATAAACACATGCATAAAATAATTCATAGGTGATTTTCATTACAAAATGATATTAGTTGAAGAATTATTGAATATTAAGGACTACTGAACCTTGTAAAGACAATTGAGTAAAGAATGTAACAGTAATTGAGCGATAAATCAGGATCTAGTCGTATCAAAAATTAAGTGTGATAAAAAAAATGTCAGCAATTAGATTTCGACTTCATGACTTGATGCTATCATGTTGGTGGAACGACATAAAAAGCCCAGTCTTGACCCTGTGTGGAGTACTTAGTGTAGACATTTGGTGAATTTCGTACTGGAAACTTGGTTTTGACAATGTAATTGTGTGCGAATTGTAGAATGTACTAATGTATCACAGTAAACGTTCGCATCCTTCATGGTGATTACCATTAGATAGAATAAATGAAGAAACATCATCATGATTAATATATTTCGGTATATTTTTATTCATTTTAGAAACCAGAAGTAAATACATTGGGAATTATCTATCAAATACGCTGTATGAAGATGGTCAGAAACATTTACAGTTGAAGATGAATGTCAGATAAACACTCTTGGAATATAGTTTTATATACTTTTTTAAGTGGTTAGAAATGAGATATTTCTTAAAGGAAGAATTTATTACAATCATGCATAGTTTAGTCAGATGATTCTCTATTATAAACAAACAGTTAATTTAAAATAGAGTAATGGTTATTTCTTTTCATTTGTTCTCCGAACGTTACTTGTTAATTTTTCAAATCAATAATCAGTGGTAATATGCAATATGATTATTCCTAATCTTGTTACTAAGGCTAACCTTTATATATATTCTGTATATCTATTCACTGAATTAAAGTCTGCTTTAATGAGACTATAGATTGATACATTTTTATGTTTGCGATCAAGTTATGATCAAAAATTAGTATAATTCATTTTGCCTATTTGATGAGATGCAATGAAATTGTCATGATTTACAGTATAAGCATTATG